CCCCCCCCCCCCCCCCCCCCCCTCTCCCTCCCCGCCCCCTCATGTCTTTGCTGGCTTTCTTCTCCTCGCTTCATCTCTTCGACTGGCTATCACAGCCCAGAACGACTATCCTGCCCAGATCGCTTGCTTTTTTTTTCTTGTGAGAAGCTGTGATGCATCAGAAAAATGCTACAGTAACAGGGTATTAAAGAAGTGCTATAACAGTGTAACACCCCCTCCTCTCACTCTTTTCCTCTCTCTATATATCTCTCTACAACGCCTTCTGTTTCCCCTTCTAACTTCTATCCTCTCTAATTTACAGTCTGGTGAAGTTCAGCTGTGCATGGTGGGAGGCGTCACCTCAGAGAGATTGTGACTCACTACAGTTCAAGCTGTAGAGCTATAAAATATTCATTGTTTGGAAAGGTTAGGGAGTCTCAGATTCCAACTTTAAGAAATAGTTTGATATTTTGGGAAATAAGCTTAATTACTTTCTTGCAGATGTTAGATGAGAAGATTGACACCGCTCTCCTATTATCTGTACGTTAAATATGAAGCGGACGCCGGCAGACGCTTAGCTTAGCTTAGTTTAGCATAAAGATTGGAAACAGGGGGAAACAGCTGACCTGGCTCTGTCTGAGGGTCACAAAATCTACCTCGTAAGATCACTATTTAACACATTATACCTTGTTTCTTTAATCTCTTAAAACTGCTTCTAGCCAAGAAATAATTCAGCACATAAACAAACATGATATAGCATGTCAATATGTCAGTTATACAGGAGCTGATAAGTGGATTTTGTTACCTTTGGACAGAGGTCTTTGTGTTATGCTAAGCTAACTGGCAGTAGCCTTATGTCTATTGTTCAAATATAAATAATAGTTATGATCAAAGAAGCGTATTTACCAAAACGTCAAACTTTAATCTGAACAAAGTTGGACAAATATTGCAAAATCACCTTTTATTCTGTGTCCGTCATTGAAGACATATTATTGTTAAGCCATTATTGAAAAAGTCACCTGTAGAGTGTGTTCTTTCTGACCCTAGGCTGATCTTGCCAACTCGATCATGTGACACCATCCGAGCCAATCGCAGCCCTTCATCCATTAGCGTTTGCTGTATGAGATGGCGACTCCAGTTGGCAGGGTTGGACGTGTCGGTGTTGGGATGGGGGGATGGAGACTGGTTGCACTGTGAGCCGATGTCTAACAGGACAGACAGATTTGGGTGTAAATTACATTTGACTGAAGACCAGTTTACAGCTCAGACAAAAAAATAAATATTTTTTACGACATAGCCTACATCAGAAGTCTTTACCATGGGACACGCTGTCGAGGCTTTCTGTAGATAAGCTGTCATCATCTGCCCTCTGGGTCAAGCCCTCCGAGCCCTCAACTCCAAGAACCAACGACACATTCTCAGGCACGATTACCTAAAGCACATCACTGTCAATGTAGCGCTAATGACCCACTTCAAATTACTGACAAGTGACCTGAACTTTGGCTACGTTTACACGTTAGAATCACACATTCATCTATAAGGAGTTACACTGAATGTTGTTGACTCACCTCATGTCTCGCTCTCTTCTGGGACACTACACTGTTCTCATCTGCATTTGTCCTGCAGGAAGAAAACAGTCGAGTCAACTGAACATGAAGATTCGTTTTTTGCTCTCGGGAACAAGTTATGTGACAAAAATAAATCTTGACTCAAGGTCCACTTCTTCAGAGTTCTTGTTTTTGCAAAGCTTTCGACTGCAAGGTCTTCATCATCAAATGGAGGTTGAAGGCTAATAAAGTAAAGCCAGTAATGGACCTTGATTTCAAGCAGGTGGTTTTGTACAAGATGCAGCAAGAGAAAACAAGTCACCCTGAACACAACTTTTATTGAACTTGTGAAATTCTCTAGAACATAAGTATATAAACTGTGTATTTATCAGAATTATTAATATGCAAATATATATTTTGGATGCTTCACGAGGCAGACTTCTGTCTTAGCATTCGTGTATTTGGTCTTAATCATTTGACTAGGAAATATGAAAAAAAAAAAATAATATCTTGAATTATGACACTGCTAAACCAGGGCTTTTGAAACACTTATTAAATCGAATGTATGACAATAATTTTACGAGCGCTTTGTTGTTACTTTCTGGAATTAATTCATTATGAGGGATTGATGAAAAACTGTTAAACTTTCATAAAGTGCAAGTTCATACGGAGTATGTGTATGTATTCCAGTGTGGCTCTAAAGTTAGCTCATTATACTAACACTACAGAGGTTGGAGTTTAATTCCCATTGTGATCCGAAACAGGTTCATTGAGAAAATGAATGCCCTGGTGGAAAGATGACTCATCAGTTCTTTCTTCAGCTATGATATGATTTCATTTATTTCAAATGTTTCCGAACAAGATGCTACTCTACCTAGTATTTTAAGAATTGCCATGTCGCTGTGGAGGGTGCAGACTTAAATCAAAACTATATTCCTCATTCTCTTGCTGATTTTTTTGTTCTCGAGATAGAGGAGCAAACAAGACACAGCAGGTGTGAGGTGTGTTGGTCACTGGTTGCTGGTGAACAGATCTCTCTGCTTTAAAGGCAGCACCCCTACCTTGCATGCTTTAGTGTGGAGGTGTAGGCACATTTTCTCGCCACCTGCCGAGCCAAAGAAAAGAGCTCCACCCGTCTCAACAAAAGGGCATTGTCGCGCATACAGAACTGGGCTGCAGCTTCATTGATGATCAACTGAGGAGGAAAAGCACTGAGTGAAGAAGGGGCGGACACTGTGAAAATATGCAGACAATAGAAAAATCACATACTTTTGCTTAAAATGTATATTTATGATTAAAGCTGCCTTCTGGATTCTTTGTTCTTGTCTTTGGCACTTTTACCTCATGATGTGTGAGCTGCTTTCCCTCTCTCCTCTTGGAGTCAAAGCGTCCGTAAATGAGACTGTACTTCCGGATCTCTTCTTCTTTGTTCACATCCTGGGACCCCATTTTGAAGATGTGTCCCACAGTCTTTGCCATCTTCTTGTTCATCCTAAGCAGAGTCTTCACCTCTGCAGGATCTGACCTGGGCAGGGTCCTGAGGAGCCTATCCACACTCTCCACCACAGCCCTCGCTGTCTCCCCATCCAGCTGTCCTCCGGGCCAGGCTGAGAGAGCCGACGGGGCAAATGAAGCGGAGGGGCTAGGTGACGTGGAGGGACCGGGAGGACACGTTGACAGCAGAGGCGGGCTGGGCGGCTCTTCCTCTAGTCCAGATGCAGATGCAAAAGTGCAGTTCCCATCAGGCTCTGGGCTGAGCCAGTGTGGGTCCATAGGAGACAGTTTTTCCCTGTAGTGTGTGTCTGGTGGCTGTGGGGAAGCCTGGGAGCAAGGGCTTCTTGGACTTCCACTGTGCATTGGAGTAAGACACGCCCGATCTTCCCTTTCACACGGTGACCCCGGCTGCCCGTTGCTCACAGACTTCCTGGGTCCGCCTGCTAATCCGCCAGTGCCCGTCCCGTCCACTTTGAACAGCGGGATGCCCCCGAGAGGAACGTTGGAGACGGGCTGGCTGAAAAGGGTAGGGTTCGCCGCCCAGTCTCGGAGGGCCTTCTGGAGCCTACGCACATGCAGTGGCTTGGTGGCCATGCCAACAAGTGCCATGATCTCCAGAAACTCCTCCTCTGCTGCCTCACAGAGCTGCTGCACGTCGTCACCACCCTGCTGGATGAAGGTTTCATAATAGGCCAGCAGGTTGGCCCTCTGCAGCACCCGATAGAGCTGCAACTCCCCAAGTGTGCGTGGCAGAGACATGGCACACAGCTCTGGAAAGTTTAGGCAGGAGAAAGGAAAGACATGAACCTGCAGGTGGAGAAATCTTGTACAAGTTATTTATTTAGATAAAGATTTTGCCATCTGGACTGCACCTGTATGTATACCTGTACCAAATTATTTTATCTTGATGAAGCATTAATACAAATTGATGAATACAGGAAGCTTATGCATGAATAGCTTCTCCCATATGTTCGATAAACAATTTTCACATTTTCCAAAAAGTTTTTTATTTCGGATCTCATATGACTGATGGTTGAAAACATATAAACATCTCTTACCTTTTTCAGGTCAGGTAGACGGATGTGCAGAGAGTGTTTTTACGGAAAGATGTCTCTCCCAATCACCGATGTCACAGGTCGGTATTCCCGGAGTGAAACTGGTAAATAAATAAAAAATAATTTTGGCTGATCGATGAGACAAAAGCACGTTACATTTAGCTTTCACTAAAGTAGAAACACTTGGATTATCGGCTCCAGCTCATATATACAGCTAAACCATCGACTGGAAGCAAGTATTCCTGAGCCAGATGTTGGCAGAAAATACCCTGCTCAAACACACGTCGCAGTTGTTATAATATTTGTTTCTTACCCAGTTACCTATTGCTGAAAGCTTCCCCGGCTCAGACTGTCGTAGTAAATCCCCTTTGCGTATCGTACCTCGTCTGAAATCACTGGCAGAAATCCTCCTCCGGCGCAGCGTATTGGTTGCTGGCTGCCCTGTCTGTGTGGGCTGGAGAATGACGGGGGCGGACTGCAGCACGCCATCTGACCGAAAAAGAGCCTTCCTCTCCCGGTAGAGAGGCGGCTTTCAAATTGGAGATGTGGGTGGTGGTGGTGGGGGCTCGGAATTAACCCTCTGCGTCTTCAAGATTTGTCTTTCATGCAGAAGCTGTGGGGGATTCCCAGAGATTCGCCATGAGCAAGACCCCTAAAGAAAGCAGCCAGAGTCAGCACTACCAACACTACAGACTTATTTAGAGACCAATGAACCCATGGGACAGATGTGGGGGTTTAATGATTTGCTTTTAGGAGGTGGGTGGTCGAGAGTTCAGGTGAAACGCAGACTGAAAGGCCAATACCCAATTCACCAAATATAAGTTCATAAAATTAAATATCAGTTACTCTCGCTAACTTTCTGGCCATGCAAGATCAGCATCTGCAAGCATACTTTCACTGCACGTTTTATTTCCCCCATAAATTTCACTGCCAATCCCTGAAGGACATACTTCACAGCTCAGTGCACCGTTAATTCATATATTTGCTACATGATATTGTCATGGATGTACAACCCCGGACTCTTCACTCTTTTGTTTTAAAATCATGTTATTTGCCTCAGATGCCACACCACACACAGAGAGTGACTGCACATATCACATTTATTGTGCACCTATTTTTCACTTGTAGTTTGAGGGTTACCAGGTTTACAGTTTCAAAAACAACAGTAAAAGCCACCATCATAAACACAAACATAGACCATACATTCATTGAATACTTGGTGTTTTATTAAGACATAAGGAGGTTTACTGCTTACATATGTATTGTGTTTTTGTCTATTTGGAAAATAATTTTTGATTGATTGATTCATGTCAGGATTTAGTTTGCAGGATAAAGTTAGGCTGAGTGGGAAGTCAAATGCATAAACTGGAGAAATTACCATTATGTTTGCCTTTAAAGAAGATGTATCGAGTTGAGGAAGTATGTGTACATCCAAACAATTTCCAATCAATCCTATAATTGACAGGGACATCGGAGAGAAACTAAAACCAGTGTAATGTTTGATACGTTTTTTGGTTTGTTAAAAGCCTCACTGTAGAGTTCTAAACCAGTTGGTGTTGATATGGCGAAGATTTGCTAAAGCAGGTGAACAAGGCAGTCGAGATATGCTGTTGTAATAAATTGATGCCTTCTCCCCAATTCTTGGATTATAGGAAGGGTTTGAAAACTCCTTAGCAAGAAACAGGACTGAGCTAGGGATTTCCCAACAATTTGTAATGGTCCTAACCATGCACCTTAGGGGGCCTTATCATGTCAAAACAAGCAAAGGCCTTGTTCAACCACTTGGAAGCACACTATTGTCTTAGATGCAATTTATATATATTTTGTAGAACTAAGAGTTCCCTTAATTGGAAATAATAAGGGACCTTGACCATGCTTTTGCAATGTTGTGTATAATGCTCTGGGTAGGACTCAAGCTTGCTGCTATTTTTAAGAGGGTGAGGGCTGTTTTAAACTGTATATATTATTTTACAGAATGGGTAGAGTGAAATAAGATAGTACACTACTAGATGTGTCAAAAAGAAAATCTATGTTTTTAAATGTCAAGGTTGAGTCTTTATTATCAGCATTACCAACAAATCAATAGGTGGCAGTAGAGGTTTTCTGAGTTGTTTGCCGACAGTCCAAAAGCCACGAAGAAGAAGCAGAGGGGAGGAGGAGGAAGAAGAAACTGGAAGAAAGTAGGAAAAGGAGCAGGAGAAGAAGAAGTGGCTAAAAAAAACAAAAAAACAACACGGGCACTTGGCTGTCTGTTCACAAACAAGGTTACACAATTATCTGAGAGGTATATACGACATTTAGTTTGTTTGAATGCAAAATGCAAGTAATGTGCCTTCTTGATGGGCTCGTCCGGTGACCAAAACAAAACTGTCTTAGCTCGTGAAACCCCACAGGAAGGGTATATTAGCGAGCCCAACTCGCTACTGTTATTAGCTAACAGTTAACTACTCGCTTTGCTGTCTGCTAGCTAAACACGTTAACAGTTTGCAGCTTTGCTGTCGTTTAATCCTCGTTTGAGACCTTAGTTAGTCGAGATGTTGTCAGGTTATCCAGCCAGATGGAAGCTAATTTTAGCCCCTATCCGTCATCACGCTGGCTGCTCCATGCTAACTGGCTGTCTGCTAACACTAACCGCCTGGAAAATAACTGGTAATGCTGTCAGAGTTAAATTAATATCACTTCAGTCGGTTAGCCAGTTCACCAGACGGGATTGACCGCTTTGTAATGTCTGTTTATCGCTTTTCATCGGTTCTAAAATGTCAGACGTTTATTCATGCTAGTTTTTTAAAACCGTGTTTCTCTTCGGCTAACTGAATTAGCAAACAACTAACGTTAAACAACATAATGTTAGTAGAGTGAACGTAATCGCTGTTGCACTGTCACACGTGCTCGTGGTAAAGCAAGTTTTAGGGTCTTAGTTTGCGTTACCTCTACAACGACTGGACGGATAAGGTCATGTAGCTACATCACATGTTTATTAAGTTAATCATTAATAAATTACGTCTCATTCGTTCCTAGTTTAATATTTACTCTGGAAAAGCTCCAAAACCGTGCAAGTACAGGGAACTCTGGGGTGGCAAAACATTTAACTTCAAGTCATAGTACTGGTAGCAGCAGGTGTAAGGTAAAAATACGAACTATTATTTACATGCTCGCTTTGTCAATTGTTTATCAACTGTTCGTCTATTACATAATATATATATATATATATATATATTAGTGAAAATACCTGTCACAGTTCTTGTCTTGTTTGACCAACAGTACAAGTTCAACGATATTCAGTTTACAATTAACTAAAGCGGAGAAAAGCAGCAAATCCTCATATTTGAGAGGCTGGAACTGGTGAATGTTTGATAAGTAAATCTGAATTATAAATATGTTCTCAACCAATCAGTTGATCGAGTAACTGCTTCATCTTTTACTGTGGTAATGTGATTTAATATTGCTAGATTCATATGCACTGTAATACAGTATTGTTTCTTGAATATTCAATTGAAAAAAAGTGTTTCATCAGATTGGATGTCCAGTATCAACAATGTTAAAGGAATAGCTACCATGGACGTAACAATGCAGCAAAGCCTCTGATGATTGACACATTTATATCATCTTAGTGACCACCCCTTCATTTCAGTTTGTGGAAGGTGTAAAAACTTTTATTGTAATAGGAATGATGACTGATAGAAGCATATCCCTCATTTAATTCTGCTTATTCACTACGTGGGTGTAAACTGAATTCTACGTGTTGCTTTTCAGATAACGACCTGATGCATGATGTGAGGTGTGTGAAAACCTTTTGACACCTGGATGCGGCTGCTGATATGGTGGACCTGAGATTGACACTCAGGAGCCCCCAGTCTCACCTTTTTAAGAGAGCCTGGGGAAAGTGTTGCCACAGATTATGGATCTAGATCTTCTTCCATGAGCCTCCGATTTCACAGCGCTTCAATCAAACAGCTGTAAGGAACATGGAGAGAGAAGCGGCTGAGAAGGAGATGGACGGCGTTACAGACGCTGACGAGGAGATCCCTGATGGCGATTCCACCCCAGTGGCTGAGTTTAATCAGTGGGAGGCCAAACGGACTGATGACGAATGTGAGCAGGAGGATAAAGAAGCCCATCTCAAATCTCAGGAGACCCCAAATCCAGCCACTCAACAAGACTCTGAAATTGGTGAAGCAGAGTGCTGTGGATCTACAGAGGCCAAAGAGGATACTGAGGAGGCTTCAGATGGGTTTGAGCATGACGACACCACAGATCACGAGAACCCGCATGTTATAAATCAAGAAGAGGATGAAGCTGCGAAGGAGCAGCACATGAACGGGGAGTCTGATTGGAGGAACGTGGGGCCTGGACGGAGATGCAAATTGAGGATCGGTGGATCAGTTTCAGACCAGGGTGCTCAAAGTGCGTTCTCCTCCATTCAAAAAGGCAGTGTAATGCCGAGTGGTGGTCGGCACAAGCAGACCCGCAGACGCAACCACCACCACAATCAGCAGAACCGAGGCCGCAGGCGGACAGGCAACCAGCTCGTCTTAGCGTTCAAGGAGATGCTCTCAGAGTCTCTGAGCTTCTGGTGCATCTCCTGCGTCCACATGATGATTGAGATTATTGTCACATTAACTCACAACTGTGGAGTCGGTGTGGAGACTGGAGGAGTGAAACTGTACAACTTTGGGCAGCAGCTCCTTGTAAAGATCACGGATGTAGGAGAAATGAAGGCGGACGCTAGTCGCATTCTGAAATGGACTAAATGCAAAGCAACAGACATGGCGGATAAAATTGTTCGGTCAGTAAAGTGGGTAAAAACAGCTGCATTATCTTGTTTGAGACTTTTCTGCGCTTTGGTTATTCTCGGCTTCCTGTGGGCAAAAAGTGTGTTGGTTTGTCTGGGTGGAGAGAGGGCAAACCGCTACTGGACAGCTTTTAAGGAGTCACGGTTTTGGATGAGGGTGGTGTCCCTGCTGGAGAGAGTCCGAAGCAGGTTCAGGAGGCGTGGCCGTGTTCCACTGTCCGGCCCCGACTCACCCGGCAGAGCAGGGAGAAGCCAGCCAGGCCAGGAGCTGGAGAGACTGCTGGCCTTGGCTGAGGTACCAGAGGATGAGCTCGACCCCTTTACAGTGCTCGGTGTGGAGGTGAACGCCACTGAGGCTGAACTGAAGAAGGCCTACAGACAGCTGGCTGTCCAGGTGCGTGTGAAGTGCTTCTATTGGATGCTTGAATTAATGACTGATGAATGTATCGGAGGTCTTTTTCTCCTTTACGCATACAGTCTTTACCTCCTGTTCTTTCTTCTTCAGGTCCATCCAGACAAGAATAAACACCCACGAGCTGGAGAGGCGTTTAAAGTACTGAGGGCTGCCTGGGATATCGTCAGTAACCCAGAGACACGGCGAGAGTATGAGTTGTGAGTACGCAGAAAAGGCAGGACATATAAATTCAAAAGAAAACTAAAAACAAATGTCCTCACAAACATTTACTTAGTAGCAGTATTACCTTTTCAAATCTGTTTTTCCAGTTACATTGATACATAATAATTTGTTTTTTCTGCATTTGGTAACATAAATATTCTAACTTCATATTTTTCTCATCTTTTCGTCAATCACTGCAGAGTGAACTAGCTCCACAGTGAACTCATTTGTACCAAATTCAAGTTTCCTACAATTTCAACATGTGTAAAGTAGCGATAGTAAATAGAGATTCACTAGAACTATTTATTGTTTTAAGATGGACAGTGTTTTCTTCTGAATGTTTTTGGTTTAGTTGCCGTTAACTGACTTCGAGTGAGTTTGACTCTTCCGGCCAGTAACCAGTCTGTTTCGTTCCCTCACAGGAAGCGTATGGCAGCCACCGAGCTCTCAAAGTCCATGAATGAGTTCCTCACTAAACTGCAGGATGACCTGAAGGAAGCCATGAACACCATGATGTGTACCAAGTGTGAAGGCAAACACAAGTATGTTGCTCATCAACTGAATCAGTGTCAAGTATTTCCTCAGACTGGATTTAAACATTCTGGAATAGACGCAACTAAATCACGTTGTGTTTCCTTCGTTACCCGCGTCTTTGCAGGCGGTTCGAGATGGACCGTGAACCTGCAGAGGCCCGGTTCTGTGCCGAGTGCAACCGTTGCCACAGTGCTGAGGAGGGGGACCTGTGGGCCGAGTCCAGCATGTTGGGCCTCCGTATCACATACTTTGCCTGTATGGATGGCAAGGTGTACGATATTACAGGTGAGCATGAAGGTTTATCTGCTCCCCTCTTCAGTAACTAAACTGTAATACAGTCGTTTGCATGAGCTCATATATATTATCAGCAACCACCCCATTCAGTCTGTGTATTTGCAGGTTAAAGTAATACTTGACCCACAAAATCACCTTCTGTTGCCTTGAATTAACTTTATTTAGTCTTGATGAACTGAAGTAAATGGGGGCCACTCTTAATAACAGCAAAACTAAACTACACTAAACATCCGTTTACAAACTCTCACACAACTCGTGCAGTATAATCCAAGACTCATTCATGTAGTTGTATACTTGCTACTTCCAAAACACACGCATCTTTGCTAAAATCTTCCTATTTAAAACACTTCGTCACAAACAGTCTCACTCTTGTACAGGTGCTCTATTTGTCCGTGCGAGTCTGGATGAAAAGTGTAGTAATGTTTTAATGTAAATACAGGTGAGCACACGACTAGATAAATAAGACTTGGATTATACTGCATGAGTTGTGTGAGAGTTTAAAAACACTTGAGAATTCCAGGTAACACGGGGTGAGTAATTGGTATAAAATTGATCATTTTGTGGGTGAAGTATCCCTGTAAAGAAAAGCTTCAAAGGGCGGTTTCAGAGTATTTCCTCAATGCACTTCTTCCTGTCAGTCATGTGACCTGTTGTGACGATGTCATGTTTCAGAGTGGGCAGGTTGCCAGCGAATAGGCATTTCTCCTGACACGCACCGAGTGCCCTATCACATCTCTTTTGGTTCAAAAAACAACAGCAACTCCACACGACACAGGTACGTCCCTGCTAGTGAAGCAAGTGTATGTCGTAGCTCCATGGTGCTAAAGCATTTACTATTCTGTCCTTCTCTTCCTCGTTCAGGCCGATGTTTTGCCTCATAAGCTAATTTGGCAGATAGTTTTGGGGAATTTTACATATCTGGAACATCTGCCGTAGTTTTTGTTTTTGACAATATGAAGCAAATACCAGCGGTAGACTAAAGAGTCCTCATTTTAGACACATGGCGCTATGAAAAGTGTTGCAGTATATGATATCTGACACAGCTAACAGTTGACCAGTCTCATCTTTTGTAAAATGTGTTTTCTTCAAAAAGGAGGTAAATGTATGTACGTAGAAAGTGAGTCTTCCATTTCTTTTTTGACAACTTTCCCTCTCAGGACGCCCTCAGAGCACGCCACAAGTCCGACCAACCCGGCAGATTTGCAAGACTTCTTCAACCGCATCTTCAAGGGAGGACCTCCTAACGACATGGCTGCCAACGGGGGCTTCTTCCCCCCAGGTCCGCCCCCTCATCACCCACCCGGACCCGGGGCTGGAGCCGGAGCCGGAGCCGGAGCCGGAGCGCCCCCCTTCTCCCCTCCCCCTCCCCAGACAGGTTTCTTCAATCCGGGGGCTCAACGGCCGGAGTCCAGCGAGACGTGGGCCGAAGGCGGTAAACCCCCCAGACGGAGGAAGAAGGTCCGCAAACCCTTCCAGAGGTGAAGTCTGTCGACCCCCTCAGTATATCAACATGGCAACACAGAGACACAATAATTGATGGCCATGTTTGTCTCTCGCCTGCCTGTCGGCATGCCAAGATCTGAACTGGAGATAATTTGTAAGGCTGTGGTCAGATCAGCCAGCGGAGCGAGAGAGAGAGAGAGAGAGAGAGAGAGACTGGATCATGAAGAGGAGCCTGTTGACTGAATAAGTATTGGAGGGTTGAAGAGGTGGAGGTGCTTTACCTCTCATGTCGCCTCTTTTTTTTTTTTGGTCTTTAAGACGACAGCAGCCTTGGCATTGAAATCTTTATCGGGATGCTGTAATGAAACGTTTTCCTTTTCATAAATTCCTGCCAAATCCTGCAATGCATGATTTATTCACCTGCATTATAATACTTCGGTTTACTCACTTTTGTTGTTCATTTATTTTTTTTATGTACAAGGTTAGATTACGACGTTGGCTCCAGACAGAGTGACACCCGAGGAGAGAGTTATGGATCGCTTTAATCAGCACGATGAAGTTATCGATCTGAGCAGCTTCACCTCGCCCGCCATAGTTCAAGAATGAGTGGAAACCAGTTAAACTCAACACATCTGAACTCAATTTAAAGAAAAGTGCAGAAAATAGTGTTTTAGAGAGTTTACAGTCAAATCAGAGGGTAAGGAGTGAGTCTCTGGTAGTGTGTCCACAGACAGCAGGATTTCAGTGTTCACACTTAAATGAAAGTCAACCTCCAGCTTTAGGGATCCAGCACTAGCATTTGTGCTATTTTTCCTAGTTCTTTGTATTACTATGATCAAGCATATTGTCTCTTTAACTCACAAGATGCAGAGTGAAGTTTCACCTGAATCTCTCTAGAGTAACAAAAGTGTGCTCTCGAGCTATCGCAGAATATTAAACCAATCTGTTCAAAGTCATTACTATATGAAGATTTGGCCATTTGTGCAGAATTAGTTACCTTAAATAAAATTCTTGCTGATTGTGGTGATTACCAGAGAATCACTTCCTACATTTATAAACCTCTCTCTTCAAGAGCCACTGACAGTGATGAAGTGTTTCATGTTTTGGGCTCCACTGATTCTAACACGCTGTTCATTGTTTCAGCTCCAGATTGACTTTATAATTACCGGTTCAAATGTAAAAGCAGGAATGAGTTCACTTGTTTCTGTTTTACTGAACACCAGCTGAGAAGGTCTCAACTTTGAAAGAGACACCGTGAAGTGTTGATGTTTCTCTGTGCCAGGGATTCATATACCACATCTATTTGATCTACTCTACCCACCTGTTGATTCACAGTGTAGCCAAACAATGGAAACATCAAATACTAAAGCAAGCCTGACCAATGCTGTCAAATATCTTCCCCCATCAGCATTACTTTAATTTGTTCATTGCCGACTTTCACAGTGAGCCTTGAATAAGATGACAGTTACAAACATCATGCAGTTTGCAACATATGAGTTATGTTAATTTCATATAGTTTATTTGAGCAGTTGTTCAGGCTGCTACTGAAAAATATACATTCCAGTCGTCTAAATTTAATGTTATTTTCATCAGCTGTGTCGTTTGATGCCAGCGGTGATGTTGCGGCGAAGCATCTTCAGCCACGACTTCTACATCAGATGACACGTCATCAGCTCAGACATGTTTCTGGGTTATTTACTTTATCTTCTTGTTTTGGTCCAACAGCTTACAAATACTTAAATGAATAATCTCATTCTTCAGGTTGAGCAGTGAGGTGTTAATCCACCAGGATGTGGTTCAGCTTTCAAAATGTCAAGTTCACAGAAAATCTAATCTGAAGCTAAACGACTGGTTTCCGTGCATTCCTGTATGTGACGGCATGAAGGGGTCAGACAAATAATTGGTTGTATTTTGGGTTTTGTTTCTTGATATGGTTCTTGCATAGAAATAATTAAATTTTCATCGAGGTTAAGCTAAAAACACGGAGTGGTTATTGTTTACACCTGATATGTGAAGATTGTGAGTAGTGAAATGGCTATTGTGTGTGATAAGGCATTTGATAAAAGCTATTTTTTTTATATCGACAGTTGATCATGAAAAGTACCATGTGTTTTCGTTGGGTTGATTTGCACACCGCCCCTGTATTAATAGAGGGATTTTGAACAGTCATCAGCTGCGTGGGTGTCGCTCGCTAAGCTAACGGCTCATTTGCAAAATTAAGATATTTCTTAGATATAGAAATATAGAATCTGAATGTTAAATGAGTGACACATTTTAGAAAAACATTTGACTTGCACTCTGGAGAAGCCCAGCTCTCACAATTATGGCATCGTAATGCATCATTAGGTTTTTTTTCCTGGTAGTTTGAAAAGCTAAATCTTTGTTGCAAGTGTTTGAGCTCATTGAAGCAGCACATAACATTTGACATGTTTACTTTCTTTTTCCTTTCATGTGTGCATTTGACCAGTTTCCCAGACTGGATCGAGTTGCTGTCAATTAAAATAAAAAGTTCGTTTTTGAATTGACCAGGGTTAAAGTCGGATTGTTACGGAGTGTTAACCAGAAAGAAAATTACTTTGATAATTACTTAATTCACAACTTTGGGTAATTTGTAACCATGTCGTTCCATCTTAAATACTCATTTGAATATCTGAGTTTCTGGTCCGCCTCTCTAGAAGAGAGTTATTGGATCATAAATCGTCAAATATCTAACTCGGTCCCTTTCTGGGAAACTGGATTCACAGCTGAGACCACGACGGGCAGAGTGCGTTTGTTTTCCACACCTTGACTTGAGAATGTACACTGATGTGTGTTAAAGGTAGCAGGTCGAGGTCAATGAAGGAGCCAACACTTTTTCTTTCCAAGTTTTTAACAGAATATGCAGAAATCTTGCAAAAAATCTGACAATCATCAGGGGTTTTTGTTTTTCCTTGTAGGGAATTGTGAGGCGAGTTCCCTGGCTGGCAAACAGTTTAAAAATATCACTGTTGGGTTTCTTTCCCCGCTTACTCTGGTTTTCAAAATAAAGAGGATTTCCTATATGCACATCGTTCTGTTTTATGCTCAGAAGGCTTATACTTATTTACCAATGCATATCAAAGCTATACCATTTAAACATACACATTGACAAAAGGATTACAGTTCATTACAAACTTTTTTTTTTAGCCTGCATAGGTCCCATCCTTCAACATTACATTTGACTGTAAACCCACACTGTGTCACTGTCACACCTCATGAGGCTTTTCCATCCTCTGACCTTATTAACTGGTGCTCTGGCCATGGAGAGAGGGCTCCTTAAAAGGAGTAGTTCCACAGAGGTGCAGATTACTGAGTCACTCACTTGACTTGTTATAACCTCTTACAGGTTAGATAAGGTGGAAAAATAGTAATATCACTTTTCATAACTGCAACTTGAACTCCTTTAAATCCTTCAGATCAGTCATGAACCGTCTTGAAGTCTTTTTTTTTTCGGGCAGTAAAGCGTTCCTCAGCTGTCCAGCAGTGAGCTCTCTGTAGACACACTGTCACAAAGCCATGTTTAATAAATGCTTATCAGGTCTGAGCTAAACAAAAGTCACAAATAATGCCAACATATTGGATCAAAGCAGCTCGTAGACGTGAACTTGACTGAGAAAGATTCTGATGTAGAACGTTTTCTGTCCCTCTCCACACTTTGACCTCCGCTCCCTGATGCACTGATAGTTTGAATTCTTATCAGCTGGTAACAATACTGGGAACATAAACAGCATTTTTCTTTTCCTGGCTCTCTTCGTATATTGACAATTAAACAGCTGTCTTTATATTTAACGAATAAGCATCACCTGTTCTTCCCTTTCAAAAAATACATTCCTTGTTCTTAACTTTGCTCTCTGAACAAATCTTTCTCACCAGAAATTAAAAAGACAGTATTTGACATCATTATTCGGCCCGGACCGGATGTTCCTCTTGTAATATATCTGGTTAAAAATAAGACTTATTTATATTTAAAATATTTCAGCCAGTACCCCAGCCTTCCTTCCCTACTAATAAAGAATGAATATGATCATATATATATGCAGCAATAACTGCTTCAGCGTGTGCCGGTTACATCCACTGCTCTCTTAACTACAGCTTGTCCTTCAGAAGTCCGATGACGCTGCGGAGCTGAGAAACGTCCCGATAAGCCACCAGGCCGCCACGGTTGGCCCAGCGCTCTGCTCCTTTACGATCAGTGTTGGGCTGATGATAGGTCAGTTCCATCTGGGGCTCCTGCGCTTGAGAGCTGGACTGTAGACACTTAGTCAGGTCCACCACCCCCCCTCCGAGGGCTCGGAGCAGAGCGTGAGGAGCGCAGGAGTCCCACTTGAAGGTGCTCCCCTCCGAGAGGACGTAAACGTCAGCCAGGCCCTGGATGACGCACAGGATCTTGTATCCGGCTCCGGAGGCGTACATCAGCTTGTCGGGGCCGCACAGAGAGGTCAGGGCTTCCTTCACCACCGGCTTCTCACTGGAGCTCAGCACCGCAGACAGACCTGCTCCTGGTCCACCTTTTGGCCGGGACACTGAGCACACGTTGACGCTGCCACAGGACACGCCCCAGAAATGCTTCCCCCTCCAGCTGTCAACGCACATAGTTAGTGTAGGTTGAGAATATTTCACTTGACTTTTCTAAATGCTCGCCTGTCTGTCATTTGGTGGCCGGCTGCATCTGTAATAACGCTGTGAGAACCAAAACAATAGAGCTACGGAGCGTACAGATGGCTCATCACTGCGAGCAAATCCTTTTTTTTTTTTCATTTGTACGTAGTTTTTATTAAAAATATATAAATTATAGTTGCTTTAAGGTTAAAGGCTGGCCATGCAATCAATTTCATAACATCTTGGTCACATATCATCATTTAAACACTCCACAGTCGTTTGACTGATCCCACATGTAGTCGGAGTATCTGGTTCGACTCAAACTGGCGCTCACAAGTTTAATTGTGATAAGCCCGACGGTTTGTTTTAATAAATATGATAGAGTATTAATACATATTCAGCTGCAGACTATTTGCCAGAGAAAGAAAACATCTTGAAAATATCTCAGTAGTCACTTTTCAATACAACTAATCTGCCTTAAAGTTTACTTTTATGATGCATATAATATGTTTTTGTACACACTGTCATAGAGGTGTTAAATACATTACACGCTTTAGTATCGAGGTCATACTAACTGGACTGCACTATATTGACAGCTGTTTCTCATATTCTGCCCCCTCATGTTTGTGAATGAGGATGACAAAAGGTTGAAAACATCTCAATATAATGACGTCTACTACGACACCATCACTAACTAGAAGACGACACATTGAAGATTTGTATTTCTAAACTTACCCTCCACCTGCTGGGTCTTTGTAGTTGAACGGCTGGTTGATGACGCCCATGACGGGTTCACCTGTGCTCCGGAGATAAACCCCGATGAGGACCAGAGCACAGTGCAGCCCTGAAGGAGACAGGTGGCCCTCCTCCAGCACCTCCTCCCTGCCCTCGATGTACTGGCTGGTGGCATCTTAAATGGGAAAAACGAGAGACAAGCGTCAACTCTCAGCCGTGTGTTTTCTGGATTCATTCATCGGACAGGAGAACGGCGAGCCTCTCACCTATGGGGTCGATCCAGATGCCGAGCTCAGACGGGCCGAGTGGCACCGTCAGACCGTCTGTTTCGGCGTCGATGCTCGCTGGATCTTGGTGGATGGCTCGAGCCAGCAGAGACGCCGCCGTGTGGTCACCGTCCAGCACCGTGGCCAGCAGTGCCGCGGTGTCCTCCTCTGTACCGCACACGGTGACCGTCACACTCTCTCCTGGTGACACAGAGTCAGTGGGGCTTCATTTAACTACTTATTATTAAGTATTAAAAGCACTTTAAATATTTACAAAGCGCAATGGAGCTCAAATACTTTGAGTGACACATTGTCTTCATATTTCTGATTATTTTGATGTGAGGTTCAAGTGCAGATTACCAAGTCAAGCGTTTCTAGTATTTAGTCTACTCATATAAAACTTGAGTGATGATATTATACAGCACTTCTCAATCTTACATCGTATTTGAACAGATACAAACTTCTATATTCCTGCAGCCCACAACAATCACCAGATTATTAGAGTTTCAGATGATGACTGAGCATTCAGGGTTTGGATATATATATTGAAAAGCAATGTTAACTAAAGCAAATAAGTGGAAAAACGAATTGAGACTCTTATGCAGAGTTTGAAATATTTTCTGGACATGTGCGTTGATTGATTTGCCACTTCCTGAAGAGGACTGTGAAAGGCAAGAATATTGTAATAAAACAAAGATTTAAATACCCAGTGTGTGTAACGTGAAACAACGGCTGTCTGATAATGATGATCAGTTTGATGATGATGATCCTGATGTTTGATGTTATTCCTGAAGATATAAGGTTTCAATCACTAAATTGTCTGCTTCAAGTACTTCCTCAGCTCATTGTAAAGCTCAAGCAGAAGAGGAGAGATGGCATGAAGGCAAATCTCACCAAAATACAAAAGCCAGCAAACTTTTGACAGAACCAAATGCTGAGTCGAACCATCAGAATCATTACAGGCCCTGGAAAATACTCTGCTAAACAACGGGAAATCAATTTCTCAAATATAAAGAATGGCTTATTTTATTTGTCTTATGTGACATTAGTAATTAGTGTGTTTCTCACTGTTTTCTAACTCTTTACAGAGCAAACAAGTAGTCGTTTACAGCCCTAATGTCATCTAATTCAAGAAGCAAGATGTTTTAGATTGTGCACTTAAGAAGAGTAGGTAATAATACGGGACCTTTCTTTGTTGATACAGAACTTTCATGGTCCAAATCCTCAATTAAATGTGTGTCCAATGAAAGACCAAAGACCAACTGACATGTAGGACATCAAACACTTCATGATATGGACTCAGTGTACACCTTCAATAACCATTTATAAACCGTTCGGACAGATTAGATTGGGACAAACTAAAGTCAACAACAGAACATGAACATGTGGTGTGTTAAGAACAATATCGAGTCATTACCGAGCCCATTTTCAAATTTGTTGGACTCCTCTCCGTGAATGAAGGCAGCCATCTCAGGGAACTGACCAAAGAAAAGACAAACGCACGATTATGATCCAGCTCCAGTGGATTCAGACGGGTCAACACTTGACTTCTCCCTACCTGAGCGCCAACGTCATGCCTGATCATCTCCTGGATCACCACGTCAGCGAGCGTCTTGAAGTCCTGGACGAACTTCTTGTTCTTGTCGTCTCCGGTCTTCTCTTGGACGAGGAGCTGAAACAGAGGAGCCTCCTGCCTGCAGACCCGAGCAACGTTAGCCGCTTTCTCAGCCACCCGGAGCAGCAGCCTCAGCAGATCAGCCATGCCTGAACGGAGAGGAGAGGAGAGAGGGTTTAGTCAACCTGGAGACGGAAACTGCGTGTGTGTGTGTGTTTGAGGGAGGAAACGGAGATGAGGCAGGTCACACCACATACCGAGCTAATTATAGCCTCAAAATGAAAACAGGGCATTTCTGAAAAAAGAAAATTGAGTGTGTGAGGGAGGAAAGTGCATGTGAACCATCACATTATCTCTGCTGCAAATACAGATACACAGCTTAAAATCCTCTCCAAAAACACAAATAATTATTCATGGATAAACATCTTCAACAACTACAAAGCAAAACTGTATCATCTTACAGTAAAACACTGGGATAAAAACACCATAAAGGGACTTCTTCGTGCCACCTACACACTGCTGAGAGCTATTAGTAATGTCAGAGGAATATTACAGTAGCTATATGTTAACCGAGGATGGGAAAAAAGGCCTCCATTAAAACTAAATAATGTAAATATGGTTGTTTGGACTTGTTTGGACTTTACCCCAGTCAGCTAACAGTTAACTGTTTTACCGTTACTGGTTTTGACATCCCAGTGAACAGGTTTGTTACGGTTTAGCATTTATGATCTTAGATAATGCAGCAAATGAGTTCAAAACGCCAGATGACAAAAAAAAAGCCCTTTAAAATGATTGAAACATTACCAAAACACAGGTTACACACCGCTTAGTCTCCTCTCGTCCGTCGCTCTCGGTAGCTGTGTGTTTCCCGTCCGCCCTAACGTCACTAAAACGCGGATGATTGTGAGTGAGAGGACGTAGTTTCAGTTAAAACAGTGGTAATTAAAACGCCTAATTAACACTTACGTCTGCCTGCTCTGGTTCCTTTACGTCACTGCGAGTTTCCTCTCGACGGAAGGGCGGAGACATCACACACATCTAAGGTGGAGACAGGCGCGCGACCGGATGGAGCGTGGTGAGCTCTTCAAAACAAGGTGCGGACAACAGGAAGTGCTGCCGCGCTGCGTTCAAATACGAATGTGAAATTAAAGTCTCCGAGGTCGGAAATTGTAGGGTGATTTCTGGTTACCTTAGTGGGGAAGTTTCTTTGTTTTTAGCAAATATACTTACAATTAAAAGTAAAATTGACATGTACTCCATCTGTCATCTTAAGCAGGAGTTTAATTTTTCTGTTTTTTCTGGCACAGATTTTAGCATTAAAACGTAGGCTTGAGGGCAAACAATGCTAAAATATGTAGTCGGTTGCCTCTTTGATCTAGATTGCATCCGTACATTCATTGTATTCAGTCATACGCTGCTACTAAATGCTGTGACTCAGGAGGAGTCAGCATACAGTAGTGAGATGGAAATGGATCGGGAGCTGAACAAAGTGATTACATTTAATTGAATTAAAAGCTGGAATATTGCTGACCAGAAAATGAGTTAAAAACGTAACTTAATATTACATCTTTGGACAGTGCCTTTCATCCACTTGCCCTCTGAGAGCTCCAATTTTCTTTTCATCCATGGATATATTATTCTTGCCTCTGCTTCATATTGTGAGAAGTTGCCGTGGCTCTTCTCATGTGTGTAATAGCAGATTGCCAAAGTTTCCAGAAACTAGAAGGGTGGTGACTTATTGTCGGGAAACCAATTTCATGAATTTCGTAACCATATACTACAAATGTAATAATTATGTTTACTAATAAAGCCCCAGTAATCTTATCTAACGATTATAAGACAGAAGAAAGGGGGAATCAAACATATTCTGTGCATGTGCAGTGTATATTTGGGCAGTTATAATAATAATTAATAATAATTTAAGAGCACACAGCTCTTTTGGAGGAATATTACAAAGGTTATACAGTATGTTCTCCGAGAAGCCTAAATAATATCAATTTACTTGTTTTGTATGCACTCTGATGTATAGAATGTTTTGAGGTTATTAACACCCAAAATTGGGGGAAATATATATTTGTAACTCAATATGGGTGTGGATGTGTAACATCAGTAAAGGAACTTTGAGTTACAAAGGGTGATCTACAAACATAAGCTTATTTCTGATTATTATTGCAACATAAGTGTCATGTATTAATGAACCTTATTTGTGCCCAAAGAAGTTTTGATGTGTGGTGAAGGTAGTTTTTGCTGGACATTATCGGAAGATTCAAGACTCAAAACAACAGTAGCATTTAACAGACCACAAGTGGCAGATGCAAAATTGAAAACAGGAAAATGCTCCCATTAAGCAGTTCATATACTCTACTACACACACACACACACACACACACACACACACACACACACACACACACACACACACACACACACGGCTAATTGGAGAAACTTACATCACTGACCACTGATGTCCATTAGTTGTCCATTACGTAGAGCACAGCAGATGAGAAACCTTCGTGTGGTTGATCAATACAGTTTAGTGTCCACAGTAAACTGGGCGAGGCTTTTGACACACTGCTGGATAAGCCATCAGTCCCACTTACAGCAGGATCCTTACAAGACAGACGCATTTCTTCAAATGGAGGTAAGAAACTTAATGGTGAAGTTAATGATTTAATCTTTTTACATTTAAAATATTTCAAGATGATAAATACATAGTATGATAAGTCAAGTGAATGCATTGTGTTACAACGTATTTAATGTTTGATCACGACATCCTCATGTTAGAGTAGAACATATGCTTTTGTATTGTGATTTAAATTGTTTCTCGCAGGCCTCAAAGAAGAATATGTCAGACCTGGAGAGTGGCATGATCACTATAATCAACGTTTTCCACAAATACTCCAGTCACAAGTGCTATCTGAAGAAAGTAGATCTTAAAGAGCTTATCAACAATGAGATGAATAATTTCATCCTGGTGAGTTATGGAAGTAAAAGTGTAAAAAAAATGGCATGTTTATCAGCACTTTGCAGTATAACTTAAAGATAACACACTCTTAACAAGCGTGTGTCCTTTTTATGTCTACTTTGAGTGTGCAACAGTTAAAATGTGTGTTGTTTTAAATTAGATATACATTATGTTGGCTTGTATTGGAATGTAGCTAAGTCCATTTATTTAAGCGCTATCCGAGTACAATTTTAAAAGGTACTTGTACTTGTGTATTTCCTTTTTCTGCTACTTTCTACTTCTACTCCACTTCATTTTGGAGGCAAATATTGTACTTTTTACTGGAGTACATTTATTTGATAGTTATAGTTATTCAGAAGATTATAGTACAAATTATAAATCAACTAATAAGTTATGATGTATTATTATAAGCCTAAGATACTTGCTGAGCTTAAAGCTAACATAATATGCACACATGTTACCGTTGGGAATGTTGCCAGAGCATCATTTCTTTATTTGGTGTGTAATGAGCATTTCAACCTCACGGTGTCACAGTGTACAGAGTTATATTAAATAAATAAAATAGCCAGCAGATGATTCTGATTCACTGTCATTCAATTTTCCCGCTGAACAGAAAATCCATGATAATGACACTCTTGACGAGCTCTTTGCGGACCTCGATCAGAACGGAGACCTGGAGATCGACTTCAAAGAGTTCATCAACCTCGTCGCCATGGTTACCTCAGCATGCCAAGAGCTTTTCCTCCAAAAACAACCGTAGTAACTGATTTGCATGCCTACTCATTAAACATCTGAGGATTACAGAAAAAGTGTCTGAATTTCTTTAAGGTGTCTGAGACGATTTTGACTACACTGGAAGACGATTCTTTGTTACATATTTGGTATAAAAGTTTGTTGCATTAATTAAATGATAACACACGAAGAACTATACATTTACTAGAATGGCACTCGGTATCGCCGCACCTGAAACCAGACAATACATCAGTCATGACTCGTCAGAAGGCAATATTTTCTATCTCAAGATGTACCACAGATTACCGTCTCAGATGACTTCCCATAAAATTCAAGATCTTCTTCCAGGAATCTTCCTGTGCAGCAGCGTGGGGAGCCGGGTGACCCCCCCACAGAGTGAACACTGCAGGAGAAACAACACAGCATTACGATTATTAATACTTAATAGTTACATTTTCTATTTTAAAAACTAACATTAAAAGTGTAATGACAACTAGTATAAAATAAGATTTGGCTGAAGGAAAAATGCAGCTCTGGGATAAGGCTCACGTTTTTTTGGTTTGAAGCTCCACAGGGACAGTCTGGAATTTGGTGTGTAAGGCGGTTCAATCAGGTGACCGGCACCGGGGTACGACAAAAGGGTGAACAGCTGGGATTTACCAGCATCCCTCAGGGTCTCCTCGATCTGGTGACAAAAAAAAAGGGCTCAGCGATACAACCAATAACCTTATGGTGAGCCTATAAACGACAGTATTAAAGTGAATCTCACAGCTAATACATTTAAAACGTAGTTGCGTGTGAGATCAAGACTGCTCAAATGTTTGTCTTAACAAATACCACATATAACAAAACATCATCAAGTATGGTTTGCACTGACTGTTTGTGACATAATAAATGCTTTTCAACGTCATTAATTTGAAATACTTAAAAAACAACAACAGTAAAATAAGACAGACAGTCTACCAGGTTTGCATTCTCCATACTTGAAGCACTCTGGTCATCTTCACCCAGTATGTACATTAATGGACAGGCGATGTGCTCTATCTGTAAAAACACAAGATGTCATTCCGGAGCAGAGTTTCTCTTATTTATACAAAATATCAATATGCATTGTGTATAATGTTGTGGTAGATTCAGGAGTGTTAAGTCTTCACCTTCACTTTGGTCTCAGGGATAATGTTTGCAGGCAAGGATATGTGTTTGAAACTCACATGGCCTTGATTATCACACACCATATGTTTCTGGTCACTAAAAGAACAAGTTACCAGAGAAAATATCAATAATCAGTCATTGGGGAAATTGTTAAAAACAACCTCTGCGATACACCATTTCTGCCTCTGAAGCTATTTTACTCGATCTTAATCGATTAGACAATTAAATGAACAATTCCCTATTTTATCTATAATACCAAAACCAGTATATTTGTCTATAGACGTAAGTATCACACCTGATCCTAGCCCTGATCAGATCCATAGACTCCTGCAACAATCCCAGTGATGTCTTGCCAATATTATCCTACAAATTGCATCTTTAATTACCTTTCAGAGCTTTCACTCCTGCCATCTGCATCATAGAGCTTGACGGTACTTCCTGCTGGTCCATTGATACAAATCAAACAGGATGGCTGGAAGAGAAAACCTTAACTGTTTAAAGGCAATGTCAAGTCACCAGAAACTGTGTGGATCAAAATGGATGACGGAGAAAGGACTATCTGACATACTTTGACACCAGCCTGAGTGGCAAGTCTAAGACTCAGGTAGACTCCAAAGGAGGTACCTATGATCCCAATTCTGTCGGCACAGACCTGACGATGTTCTTGAAGTATGTGGTATGCTGACTGTCCAAACAAACAGATAGGATATTTCAAAGGAATGACAAAATAAACAAAGTAAATGGGAGCTATTTTAAAGTGAGACATATATGATGCATAAAGCAGGAAATGAAGCATCTTATCTTACTTTGAAATATGAATCACCAACATTGATAGAGGTTTGAGGGCCAGGCAAATCTTTGTGCCCCAAGTAGGTAACAGAAAAGCTAGCATAGCCCCTGGATGCAAAAAGGGCGGAGCGGTACTCTACCAGTCCTCCTCCCATTCCCCACAGATCCAACATAGCTGGAAACGGGCCTGGGCCTGCAGGAAATCAGTAAAGTAGGTGCTGTTTAGTCATGGCAGTCTTAAAAAGAAATTTGTGAGTGAATTCATCAAATCTTGTGCTCACCAGGTGGTAAAAACAACGTCCCCACAACTCCATCTTGGCGGATCTCTGTTCTCCGTACACCTGGTGCCATGTACCGGCGCTCAGTAGTTATTGCAGCCAGCTTGGTGCTCTGTCTCTCACTGGGTGACACGTGGCCCTCCAGTAAGGACATGAGCATTACGTATGGAGTCTCTACGTTTGTTTTCCTCAGCCTGAAACAAAGAGCACATTTCACTCAGGAAACGCTCATCAATGTAGCAGAAATACAAGCATTCGAGTTTGTCTGTGTGGCCCTTCTCCTTTAATGCTCAAGAAAAATTATGTGTGAACATCACACAGATTTAAACAAGACATAATTAAATTGATTTGAGTTGATATTGCTTTGATATCACATTTCAAACCTAAATTCTAAGATGGGAGGATGCTGGAGGGAGTTACACTTGTGGGAAGCGGTCAGCATTTCACTGCTGAAAGGTTCAAATGTAGAATGAATGAAAGCCACGTCTGTTTATATGAACCAACTAATTGTTTGAGTTAGATTGTTATTATTAGTGGAAGGTTGTTGGGCTTTTCTACAATTGTAAAAGACAACACAAAGTTGGGTTTGATGCCACAAATGTTTTTTTTTTTCTTCAGCTGTCAGTGAGCTTGTTTTCATCACCTACCTCAAACCTTCTCTTGAACCAGGAGCTGGCTGCAGTCCCCAGAACAGTCCCATCGGCTCACAGCCCAAATATGAACCCCCGACTGAATGATCCCTGGTCACTTTTGAGGAGACAGAGAAACAGAAAGTAAAGAACATCACCAACGGCCTGCATAGAAGTCTAAATGGCTCAAATAACCTGATTTCTAAAAGTTGCATCCACGATACACAGATTCAATGTTAACTTGTTACTTTCGTCAACCAATTCTACAGCTGATTGAGTTAAAACTGTATTCTGCTTAATTGCCCTTTTGTTCTTTAAGTGGCTAAAATCTCCTTTTAGTTTTGAGAAACTGAATATGTTTTGTTTACTACCTGCAAAAAACTACAAAAATGGCGGGGTCATAGTAATAAAAGTATAAATCTGCTGTTTTCCAACATTTATGATGAACCCTTTCTTGACATCTCTAATCCGACTATTGTGTTTTCTTTCACATATTGTATCAATTACATTTGTAGTTATTACATAATTTGAAAAGCATGACATATAATCCAACAGGGAATATACTGTACTGTGACTCACAGTTGACAGTGCCATCTGCATTTGTGTTATAATGGGCGAATGCCTCCCACAGGTCACCATCATCACTGTGCATTTGAGCACACACTGTGACGGGACACTGAGGTGGCAGGAAACATCCTTTGATGCTGATCTGTTCATCGATGAGGGCACGAACAGGAGTGGCTGTTAACAGGGGGGCTGGTCTCAAGCTGCTCTTCCACCGAACTCCACCTAGAGGTAGAAGAAAAATATACTTGTGAGCTTTGAAGTATTATGAAAACAAACAATAAAAAATAATTGGCGATTTTCCAAATGGTTTATTGGTAAAGTATTTGAATGTGTGTCAAGTATCAGAGGGTTGATAAAGCTCCAATAAAAAAGAATTTTAACATTTATGCATGTGGGGGACGATTTTGTCCACAGCACTTTAGCATTTCTCCACATACATCGAGATTATTGTACAGTTTAAGGTGGCTTTGGAATGTGGACAGGAGGACCTTGGAATCAAATCACTAACCCGATATATGATCAGTCCCCTTCTACTGTACTTTTCTTCAAAATACACCTAACTAAAGCCAATGAGGAGACATGTATGCTATGTTGTTTTGACTGACTCAAGTGCAGTAATTCATGAGAGAATAGCAAGAATGTTAAAGAAAATGCAATATCTTGAAATAAAAAAGGACATTTGCACACATTTTATTAAAGGACATTTGCACACATTTTATTAAAGGACATTTGCACACCTCAAAAGGTTTTTGAGCTGCTGATTCATAAACAATCATGAAGAGAAATGGTGCAGAAAGAGGCCTCCTTACAGACACGCCCCTAGTCTTAAAACTTGTGATTTCTAGAAAATGTTTTGAAAATGTTTACACTGAATAAATGGTCTCAGATGGTCATATAAATCACAGTCAGACCTTCATACAGTATCATCGTAGCACATTTACTCCAAGTCAAAGTAGATTTTACTACTCATTTCTCACCCAAGTTCTCCAATGACTTCTAAAACCACAATAAAGAACAATATTCTTACCCATAGACCGAAGCAAACATGCCAGGTTCCTGTGTACACCGATGCATGGTATAATTTTCATTTCTATTAGTTGTCGCACTGTTGTCACACTCACACGAACTCTGAACATTATCGCGTTTCTGTCTTCACTCTAAAAATTAGTAGGTACGAGTCACACTACACACGACACCCTTCCGGGTCTTGTCTATAGTATTTAGTGACATAGGATGAAGAGTTAAATATTAACCCTGATGACTCCAAGGGTTAACTGTATACCAGTGGTGGCTGGTGGAACATGTTCTATGTAGGGCTGTGCCACATCCAATCAATTTCAGCAAACATCCCAGTATGATTTAATGCAAAAAAATGAAGGTATCAAACACGCATTACTACTTTGCAGTTAAATATTTAACCTTTATTCCAACATGAAAAAAGCAGTAAATAACACTTTGACAAACACGTCAGGACATCTTATTTTTGTCACCCTCACAGACAATTCGGTATAATATAATAATATATATCGATTCTGCCCCAAGTTGAATCTACTTGAGAACGCTGATTGGCTAAATTGTATGTCACTCATTTGTATCTTTAATCAGCATTAAAGCATCATTGGCTAAACTGCTTCATAGACCCGCCTCTTTGGGGCAGTTTTGCAGGCGCCCCAGCCAGCTGAGACGTGCACACGCGGAGAGGACGTGTAGTCAGGCGGGAGGGGACGTGCAGGAAAAGCATATATTTACCGCAGATATCATATTTTACACATCTTACTGGGTGATTCCATATTTCAAAAACACAAATATTGGCAATTTGTATAGTTTATTATTGTGATTATTTCTTGTATTTTATTTGTTGTGGCTCAAGGTGGGGCGGCGCCCTAGCCCCCTTTATTGACCAGCCGCCATTGCTGTATACTCAGCTGCAAAGGCATGTCGACGTCTGTTGACCATTGTCCTGCATAACGGCCTGTATCGTGTTACAAAACAGATGCTGCTTCATGACTGGCTAGCACTAAAACATGTGGATCTTTTCAGTTTATACTTCACACATTATATTCAGCTTTGAGCCACCGGCGACTGTGTCAAAGCAATCTTTACTGTGGTAAAAGTATCAATAATGCAATATAAATATATTCTGTTACAATTAAGTCTTGCATTCAAAATAAGTTCAAAGTGACAAAACGTTATTAAAGAATACCATTAAACGTGCTTGTTAGAAATTGTTATACTGTTTTATTCTGTAATTATATTACATAACGTTACTGACAGCACGATCAATAAATAAATACATCTTCATAACCTACATGTGTATTATTATTTTACTTATATTTCATTTCTTTATTTGCATATTACAAAATTGTATTTTATACATATACTGCATATAAGATACTTTATAAAGGCGACTTTAACGTAATGTTACATCCAACGGAAAGTAAAACGATGACGATTTAAAAATAAACGTTGCGCTAGCGTAAAAGGATAAAAAAAACATCGAGTACGTAATAGAAAGCACACATGTAACTATCATATAATAATTATTAGATTTCCTCCATCGGTTGTTAGCAGAAAACATATTTCGCGGGAAAACCAGTACAAATCATCTCAGTAATACATCTACGGTGTTTTACTTTGAAAATAAACTGATAGCGTATAGTTTTATTTCCGGATCCACCGCGGGACTTCCGTGTTGTTAACCAGGTACAACCGATGACTAGTTAGGCCTTGACAGTAAAGTTTTGAAAACAGTAAAGCAACCGAAGAAGTTATCGTTAGTACGGCGAGCCTGAAACCTCTGTGACCCGGTGCTCAGGTCTGTATCAGCTGTCCAGAGGTTTTGTTGTTGACACGCCGCTAATAAAGAAAACACGCATGCTAACATGGGGTAACTTGTTGGTTATCTTTACCGTTAGACAAGAAACACAACTTACTACAGTGTTGGTGTTGTTTACATCCACAATTAAATGCCTTGGCTTTTATGTTAGCTTTAAATGAATGTCACTGGAGGTGTTTGAGTTCTGAACTGAGCTAACAGGCTGTGATTCGTTCCATGAATGTCAACGTTAGCATTGCTAAACGTTGTGTTAGTGGTGGTGGACAGCTAACAGCTAGCTAGGTGCTTGACTCAGTCAAAGCTAGATAGATACACCAGTGGAGGTTTACTCGAGGTATTTATTTTACATTGAAAGGACCCTTCACTTTCCTATTATGTTATCACATGCAGAGTTAACTATACAGTCTATGATTGTTACTGAAATCGCACAATAATATATATATATATATATTTGCTGTTAGAGTTATTTATAGATATGCTAGTTGACCATGGGCAGATGCTCTCATACAGAGGCGGAGTTTTGCATTACCTCATATTCTGTGATTGATTAATTACAGATTATCCGTGTATTTGAAGTTTAAATTTGATATAAAAGATGAAAAAGGGACACTATTGCATTGAATACATTCCTGGCCTGTTGACAAAGTAACGATCGTAGTTGATTTTGTATGGTAGTTGAGGACTGTTTGTACTGCTTGAACTATTCACATGGTATGCACACACCGATTACCCCAAGAACTAAATACCACTTGATATTTATAAGCTCATAGAGGATATTTCATTTGACTGCCTTTTTAACAGTAGAGCTCATTGTGAGGTCCAGCACTTCACTTTACAAACACTTCTACCTCATGCAACACCCAAAATAGTGCTCTTTTGGATTTAAGTCTATACTTCTTATTCCATCTGTTAAAATAAGGACACAACTGTTCATACGGTACTTTACAGCAGTGTAGCTGGCTGACATGATATATGTTAATACATTTCATTAAGTTTTACTTTTTGTGTTTCAGATTCTGAGCTCACACCCGGGTCGAACTAGATGGCCCAGCTGGTAACAGTTGGGGCCAGCTGTTAATACACTGGTACGTGTAACATCAGTCTGCGATGGCCAGTCACTTCCGCAGCTACATCTGGGACCCGGTCCTCATTGTGAGTCAGATTGTGTTGATGCAGTGCATCTACTACAGCTTCTTGGGCCTTTGGTTAGCTGGAGTGGACAGTCTGGTGCAAACTAGTCGGTCACTGGACCAGATCTTCAGCTATGAAGTAAGTTATAGGATCTCTGCCAGCAGCTGCGTGACGTATATTTGTGGCACATTTCTAGACTCTGGAAATGGTATTTAATTCTTTGTTCTGCTTTGGAAGATCCTTGGTTTTGCAACAATGCAGGGCAGGCTCTCAATGATGGCATTCATCTTGAACTCTCTTACCTGGTGAGTCAGATCTTATTTTTTTTTTCTCTGTACATCCAAAGAGATGAGAGCTGTAACACTTCTTACTAAAATGCTGTTGTTCAGTCATCTCTTGATACAATAGCGTAACAGATTTATTCACAACTGCACAATTAAAGGATTTTACACTAGTGGGACTAAACCACTGAAACTTATATTTATTTACATAAAAATAAAATGGATCATTTCTTTTTTTGCATTCACACAAAACTGAAGCATAAATAAGCATGACTTCTATCGTAACTTTTCTGTGTCATTTTTCCTGCAGCGCCCTCGGTCTGTGGTTCTTCATCCGTCGGGGGAAACAGTGTCTGGACTTCACAGTCACTGTGCATTTCTTCCATATGATTGGCTGCTGGATCTATAATGCTCATATTCCATCTGCCCTGTCCTGGTGGCTCGTCAATGTAGCCTGTATGGCGTTGATGGCTGTAATCGGAGAGTACTTGTGCATGCGGACTGAACTCAGGGCTATTCCAGTCAATAGTGGACCCAAATCTAACCTGTGAGATTTTGCCGATACCACGTTGAAAATCTGTGGACGGGTAACCCCAGAGGAACTCGGTCAGAGGAGGTTTTTTCACGGCTTTCAAAAGAAATGGAGCACGAACTTCCATCAGCGTAGACGTTGGATTGTCATCCATCGTCCCTTCAAGTGATAAACCAGACGAACTGATCTATTTATTGTTCATAACTGTTAAATGTTGGACAGTATTAACTCTGTAGCAACATATACATGCTTTATTGCTGATAAAAGCAGATGTTAATTTACACCGTTCTCGGAACCTAATGACTATACATTTTATTTTAAGTAATTGCACTTTTGTGTTCATTTTAATTACAAAAGCATGAGCATCCCATTTGCTCATTTTAAGATCTACGATATTTTTTTCAGATGCATGCTCATCTTCAAATGACAAATTGAAACGTCAGAGCAAATGCAAACTGTCTCATAAAGCAGCAGAGCAGCAACAAGAAATGTTCCTCTCTCTTTGTGTTGGTATAATTACAAGCTGGCCGGGTTGGCAAACAAACGTGAACATGATGTCATACTTTGGATTTAAAATTGAAATGTTACAGTCACTGCACTTTAGAGATGTCATTGTGCAAATATACCTATCGAGATTTTATTATGTTTAATTACAGCTGCATCTTTAAAGTTAAATGTTGGGTAACAAGTTCAGTGTTCAAAGAGGTTTTATGACACTAATCAATCATTTTGTAAATCCAAATGTAGGAAAACATTTTCTGCTTCATAATCTCACTACATCATTAGTCAGAATTATAAAATCAGGCTCATTTCTACGATTAATTTAGCACACAATGCTCAGTTTTGGCCTTCCCTGTTGAGCTTGTACATCATATTACCCAGCTTGCGTTGTTTGTCTCCGTCTCTTTATGTCATGATTTATTATGCAGACATGGCGGCCACTTTGGGGACAGTTTGTCAGCCACCAGCTGTGTTCTGACAACAGACTGTCTGTGTTTCTGTGGGGGATGTGATATGAAAAGTACTGAAATGTGCAGCACTGGTGGTTTCTGGAACACTTCTAATTTTACGATGGCTTTTAAAACACTGTCAAAATGATCTACATATTATTAGAGTGCCACGTCCTTTAACACATAGTGGTATATATTTTTACTCTGCGTGCTGAATGTCCGATCAAATATCTGCAGCTTTGATAGTGTGGACTATGCAGTGTCTGCTTTTGAGGCAGAGTTTGATGTTTACAAGCTGTACAAGAGTTGTACATTATGGGAAATTCACTTATTTGTTTTCCTGGTGAGGGTTAGAGAAAGATATCAATTATACCACTCGCATGTCTGTCCATTTATTATATGACTACCGCTAGATTAGACTGGAGACTCTGAAGAACCTACCCTGTTGTCCAAAGGTAAATACATTAAACCCAACACCTCTTAAGATCACAAATTAACATGTTGTATCTCGATTGATTAAAACTCAAGTCTAAAAATGACACGTTGTGCTTTTACCGAGGTTATGTGCTGTCCTATTTCTTTGCTGGGTGCGGTGATATCCTGGAGTCTTGTTGGCAACCTGCAGCTTTTCTTCAGTTTTCTTACAGATTAAACAAGATGCACAGTGTTAATCAATGAGCTGTAGAAGTGCTGGGAGGCGTATTCTACTACATTCAGAGCCAGGCTACCTGTTTCCGACCCATTTCTAATCTTTATGGCTGCTGGCTGTAGCTTTATATTTGCACAAACATGAGAGCGATATCAATCCCCTGATCCAAAGAAAGCAAATGAGTGTATATCCCAAAGTGTCGACCTATCCTCTGTTATGTTCAAACCATGACAACACTTTCTAAGCCAGTGTTCCGTACTGTTTTATGATATTTTTGCAGCCGCTGCTCAAAGTTTTCACATGCAACGCCAACTATTCTTTAACATAAACATTAGTTTTTATAATGTGTTTAAATACAAAGTACCTGACAGATGGACCTATTAATGTAATTACAATTTCTGACTTGTTTCTATTGCAGAAACATCACAGACAATTATCTTATCAATATTCCTCCTCTCTGAAGATTTAAATACAGGGTGTTGGCACCAACATCAAGGAATTATGTTGCAAGTACTTTTGTGCATATGCTGTTTAATAAAACACTACCAGTTCATATGGATGCTTGTAAATCTCAGTCAGGAAACTGTAGGTGAAAAAAATAATTGGCCATTATGCTTCAGAGATCAAAGATAGGTCCTCTAATGAGGGGCACACCACAAGCGTGTCTTTAGATCTCTGAAAGTTTTCCACCCCGGGCCCAGATCCTTCAATTTCTGTCTCTTACTGTTTCTTCTGGAAGTGTCCAGGTGGAAAGAAGCAGATGGGAGAAGTACTAATGAATAAAACTACTTGTTGCAATCCTCATTACCAACACTTTGCTTCAGGGAGGGCTAAAAACAGACACTCTGTAAGTGAGTCGTACAGCAGAAGTTACTGCATCGAGTCACTATTTTACCCTTTTGTGTTTCTAGATCTTTGTTATCCATTATTTTACTGAAGGTGCTGCACACACACACACACACACACACACACACACTGTGTTTTAAACATGGCGCTTTATTATTACAAACACATTACTTTGCCATATATTGCTTTATACAGTCTTGTAAATAGTGTGCTTTTCTATCAGTAAACTCAAAAAAACCATTGATATAGAACTTGCTTTTACATTCAGAGGTTCTTTCCGTGTTTAAACTGCCGTTAGGGTTCATTTCTTATGGTATAATGCTTATGATAATCATTTTCATGCTCTTTTCAACGGCATACAAAGGGATACGAGTCCTCTCTTTAAGAAGTGGTCGTACGTATTGCTCATGCTTTGAGGACATCACAACTGTTCTTGTATTCTCACCACCAGACACACAATGGATGACATAATGCGAGCATGAAATAAATAGAAACAACTAGAACAAACATGCTATGAGAGGTGGAGGTGGGTGGGTGATACTCTGAGGAGCTATAGGCTAACTTCATGCACAGATCAATACCACCATACATGTTGCCCAAGGTGAAATCAACATAATGTTCATTACTCTGAAGCACTGTCACTAAAATGATCATGCATTTGGGATTAAAGAGATAATTCCTTTGAGGACCATCAGAATTAAAGGAAATATGCAAATTGTGACACAGTTTTGGAAAAACAAACAAAACAAATCAATGCTTTCACTCATACATTTTCGGTGTACACTGAATCTAGGTAAACACTGCAGTATCGGTACAGAAAACTCCAGATTCTTTGAAGAAAATGCAACCTGTATACTGATTCATAGTGATTAAACGACCATTATAATTAGTAATACCTCACATGGCTTATGGCTTATTGTGTATGTCCATGTTATCGTGTCAAACTGTAACACTTCTGTTGAGATTCACGACAATCGTTTTGGCTGCTTTTGAAGCTTAAAATCAAGCCTGGATTTCTCAAAATGAGATTGAATAAAAGCATGAAACAGATAAATTGAACAGCACAGTTAATCTGTTTTGTTTGATATCATAATTATGCAATGCATTAATGGGTTAATCATAGATTGAAAATCCTATTGATACAAAAGCGATTATGGATTTGTTTTTACAAAAATAAGGTTTTGCTTTTGCATATCATTTGACTTTAGATCAACTATAGTTTTTTTCTTTGAAAATCTCTGTAATATAATCCACCCCTGTGTGGTCTATCTGCTGTATGAGATACTGTGTTTATTCAGTACTTACAGGTCTTTAAAGTAAAGTTTTAGTAATATCGCGCTAATTACAAGTGAGCATTTTCACAAAAAATGGAGCAGGTATTAATGATACAACACGAAACATTCACAATTAAGATTTCCTTTTTTACACAAACATCAACAGGTCAGAAGTTTGATCGATCATAAGACTGAACCAAAGCGTGGGACGAGGCTCAGAGAGCAAAGAAGAGAAAGTGAACGTGTGAGGTCGTGTCAGGATGTCGGTTTTTGGTGTCTTTATAGCAGCCGTGCAACATCAACCACAATGGGCTGAAGTGTTGGTGGGGCAAAGTGTTATACAAGTGGCTTGATTGTCACTTACACAAACATTTACTACACTTGAAAACAGATTAAAGGGTCATTTCACCGATAATACATCTGAACGTTGTTTAGTTGCTTTAGTGTAATTAAGTCTGACAGATTCATGTCTGTATTTAGGTTTGGTCCTTTCACTGATCAATACGTTGGCAACATATTCAAATAGTTTCTTAATGACTGAGATAAAAGATTTGCCAAGATATTGTTGTTATTTTTGGTGAAGTGCTCCTTTAAATGTTTTCTTGCAATGTGACAGCTATTACATCACGATGGCTTGGCTGGATTTATACAAACTCACTGATTAAAATTGCTTAAATTTGCTTTCTTGTCGAGTATGTGACAATCGATACCACTCTCATGTCTGTACACTAAATGTTACACTAAAAGCTACAGCCAACAGCAAGTTGACTTGGTGTAGCTAAAGGACAAGGAAACAGGAGGAAAGGGATCCAAAGGTAACAAAATCCCGCCCTTCGGACATGCCTAAAGCTCACTAATTAACATTTTATTTGTTTAATCCGTACAAAAGTGTAAAAAAAAGTACAAGTTGCGGTTGTACGAGGAGTGACGTGTCAAACCATTTCTCAGTCGGAAGCAGCCATAGCAGCCGTGTGCTAAGCTAACTGGCTACTGGCTGTAGCTTTATATTTAGTGTACAGACATGACAGTGGTATAGATCTGCTCAGCCAACTCCCAAAATGTTGAACTATTGCTTCAACTATCATAAACCCATACAATACAGGGAGTGGGCACACACTAACACCTTGCTGTCTTAGAATATAATGAAAACCAGAACAACTCCTCAAATACTGCTTTAAAAAATTATCTCAGAGTTGATTCCGCAAAAACTGAACATGATAATGTTCATAAATACAGTATGTATTGCATTAGATTGTACCGGTGATCATGATATTGTGTCCACTCCTTGTATATCGGTAACCAAGAGCCACAGGTGTCTGGCTGTTTGTATCTGAAATCCCTTGAATACTTGGCTTGTTTGCTTTAGTCTGCCTGGACCGATTAGTTGGCTGAAATATAGTTTTCTCAAATACAGTACTAGTTTCTAGACGTCAGGGAAGATCAAGCTGAAGTATTTGAGGAGATTTCAAACATTATTCATTACAGCAAATATTGATTGGCTAGCCACAGACCCGCGTGGCTCTGAGTCAAAATAATCCTCATTATTTAATCACTCATCCCTCTTAAATCCTTGGCTTTAAGTTTGAACTCAGGAGGACCGAACCCAGAGGAATTTGAGGCCCTCGTCATCACCCCTCTCATCTCCTGCACCCCCACCCCCGCCCCGGATTTATACGGGGCACCAGTTGGGCCCAGTCATGATCAGCACGCCTATCAGGGGCAGGGTAAGGGCAGCAAGAGGTGAACTTATGCTGGGCGAGGAGCTGGGGCTGCACAGTTCGAACAGACTACCCTGGAAGCGCATCTTCATGGAGTCCTGCCTCAGAGTCTCCCAGATGGAGCTGACTTCCTCCTGACAGTCGGACAACGCTGTGAGGGCACATGTGTGGAAGGCTTCCCAGTGGCTGTGACAAAACAAAACAAAAAGCATCATCAGATCAACGCTGCATCTGCCATTTCACGCAAGAATTCATCCTGGCTACAGCATGCAGACGTGTCATGGATTAAGATGCTTGCCAGTAATCTATCAGTCAGACGTGATGATGGCTATGGTGGCTTCAAGTAAGTCAAACTGAGCTTTAATTACCATGGCAACTGCATCAGAGAGTGAAACAATATCGCAGATGATATTGCAAGAGGGCCATTTTCAACAGAAGGCTTATGTGTAAATCTTTGTCTTAAGCATACTGTGCAGGGGTTGTAGGGTGCATGCCGTAACAATGACAAAAAAACATCATCGGAATTTCATTACTGCTGCAGCAAAGTCATACATTATTTAGTACAATGGCTCAGTGTCTCAGCACCATTCACTTCTCTATTCTCCCTCTGAGATCTTGACATCTGCTCTTTTTCTCTCCAGCATTTTATCAAGAGATGCACACGTCATACTGTACCTGTCTGTATTCATTCACTGAATCATGCACTATTTCATACTTTTTGAACTGAAATACAGTTTCTGCACAGTGCTGTAGATAGTCGTCTTTTACTGAAGGTTTTTTATTACAGTCCATCTCAGCTGCTTTGTCTTTCAGTTCTCGCTTTCTCTTTTTAAAAGCGACTTTATCTGTTTTGGTAAAAAACATACCGATTCCTTTTGGGGATGTCCCATGTGCACAAGTGAGTGTGGTCTGCTGTTCACACACTCACTCAATCATAAAGTTATCATCACCTGCACACGGCTTCCACTCCCCTCTCGCTGGTCACGTTCTCCTGATAGTTGTCCATGCTATCTCCCAGCTCCAGGACACAATCAGAAAAGTCCTTATAAATGTTCTCACACTTCACATCTACATCGGAGTCTCCTGAATCCATCAGGGAAAAGAATACTGCAAAACACACAGAAATGATGGTTTAGTTGAGTTTATAGGCACAAGCAAAATAAGTAATTTATTTCTAATTTGGTAATTTATTGTGTGTGGAACAGTCTGGTTTATCTTTCTCTTCCATCTCCCCACATCTATTACTATGATCATGCAACTTTTTTTTCACAGAAACACAGTATTTCATTCAATTTGTGTTTGATTTTGATTGGGTTTTTAACCTTCCTTTTTGCAATCCTGTGTAATCTGAACTTTAATTTAGGCAAATGTCAGTGGGCTGTGAAGCAGATGCTACCACTGATAATAATCACGAACATTGCATCTCATACATTCCTTCCACAAAATGCTAAAAAGTGTCGATAATGCACTATTGTGCAAGAGGACAATGCAAAATAAGCACAATTCAAGCAGTAAATATTAGTAAAAGTGGCGTTTAAAAAAAATACATCAGTTTGGCGTTTTTTTATTTTTCGATCTTGCATGGCCAAAAGCACACTATCACCTACAGACACCCAGTTTCTATTGTCGATGGGTGTAGGCTACTACAAGCCATGGTGCAGGTCTCATCCCCATCACGCAACACAGATGGAGATAAATAAAGATTGCAATCATGGCGTGACATTTCTGATGCAGGGAAAGAAAAGGTGTAAGGCAGTTATCTGTGTCAAACAATCCAAAGTGGCTTGCAGTCTAAATACAACCGGAGGAGCAGCTTGTGATATCTTACCCAAGGCAAACGCAAGAATCCCTGCGATCTTCGTCGACATGAAAAATCCCATATCATCCCATTTCAAGCCAAGCGGAGGGCGCGGGATGCTGCCGAGGCACTCGTGAATCGTGTAAGAAAAAAAGCGGAGCTTAGTCACACGGAACCGATTAACTGCCCATTATTAATGTGTGTCGGCGTGTATCAGTGCTTAAGCGGCGATAAACACTTAGTGGGTGTGTATACAGTCTTTCCCTGCTCCGGCCGACTGCTGACGTTACATGCCCCCCCGGCGCGCGCTGAGCTCATCTTCCCCCCTCAGCACCGGACAGCTCTCACCTCCCCGAGGAAGAACCACCGAACAACACTCCTGTAGCACAGGGAGGACTCTCAAGGATGCCCCTGCTGGTTATCTGACATAGCTCGCACTTTATAGATAATATCTGATGTTATCTCAATGTCGAAGCTCCTCTTTGTTATTATAGTAGGCTACACATAGCTGTCTTATATTACAAGTGTATTATAGTCCATGTGTTTCAAGTTTAAATCGGATGCAGTCCTGTCCACTCCACAATGCAAAGGTCGGGTGCATTTTAAAAGTTGCATTATTTTCTATTAATTATTGTTTCAGATGTTTGTTTTTGACCCAAACATTTATTTGATTATGAAAATAATCGTTAGTTGCAACCCTACATGTCATTTCCTTTCAAAATTCCTAAAGTGGCACCATCCACATTTTACTGAAACTGCTGCTGTTGATTGCACGAACCACAAACTGTCAGAGAATGCAGAAGACAACAGTATAATAATTAGGAAATAGAGTTTTTAAGTAAGCAACTAATGGGACAAAATACACTTTGTTCACCCTTTTATTGTCTTTGAAAACATATTTTTCTCCCAAAAGAAATGGCTTGCAATTCGACAGCACCTGTAAATAGTTTGCAATGCTCAACCAAGGAGAAGTTACATTACAACACGGTGAAAAACAACAGGTAACCTAACCTGCAGAAACCTCAAGAGAACACGGTTTAGTATACGTTGCAATTGCAGCTGCCATTGCTCCACTGAAAAACATTTACTTTTAGAAACCTCCTGCTGTATGTGACTGGATGGTAAAAGCAGAGGGGCATTAGTGGGAAACCTTTTAATCTACTTTTTTCTTAACATTAAGTCTTTGCAGGGCACCGCACATACAGCACAGAAAGGCACAATGGTGTTTACATAATAGAGAAGTCATTGAATTATGACTTGACAGCATTCATAAAGCCAGCAGGTTGATTTATTCTGCTTTCTTTTCGGGGCAGTTTGTACCACAATCTTGTTTTTTTTCCCCACAAAAACTTTAATGACTTATTGGTTCATCTTTTATCACCTTTCACACACGTACTGATAAAAAAACGTCCCTTTCAAAGTGGACTGTAGTTCAGTCCTGTTAGTGTCTAAATGGCCTTGCTCTGATCAGAGCAGTAGAGTCCAGGATGCTCTCTGGTCGTCGTTCCGGCAGGATGAGATCCACACAAACATCTGGAACACTCGGGTTGGAAATCTTGATCCATTGTAAATGGGAATTGTGTTACAACGGCGAGGAAATGAGCTTTGAAAGCCTGATGGACAGTATGATGATGATGGATGGGAACGGAGAGTTTTATTGATCGGCTCCAGCTGCCCTATTGGTTCTTTTCCGTGGAGATGCTTTAGGGGAAGCCTTGTCTGTAAGACAGGATGCAAAGATCAGATTTGTGTAACACTAATGTGAGCGAAGAAATCACTTGAAACAGTTGGGGATAAAACTGAACATACTCATGACATTGAGAGTCTCCTGAGGAATCCAGCTGATGTCCACATCGTTCATCCCACCAGTGCCCTTCTCTATTTTCACAGAGATTCTCTTTTTCTGCAAAAGACAAGTTGAAAGACAACATGTTTAATTTTTAAAAAAACAACACATTTTATCCAAGAGCCTGCTTCAATATCAACGTCTCCCTGTCGAAGGAAAAACAAAATCACTTGTTAATGTGCACTCTAATCCATTTGCTGCCATTGACTTTATCCACGGGAAACGTTCTATTACATTTGCAGTGGTAAAACGGAGGAAATGACTCATCCCATCTACATATCTTAACATGAAGAATAAAAGCAGCCGACAGAAGACAAACACATACCGTCCTCGTCTCCAGCACCTGGTACATCCCAAAGACCACCAGGGCCCCCAGTCCAACCAGGAAGATGTACAAGGACATTCTGCAGAAAGAAAACAGAATCAGAATGAAAGCATTGAATGGAAGAGTTCCTCAGCTACATGGTGTTTTTGCATACCCTATACTCTGTAAGTGATGCATGGCTACTGACTGAAATATAGTTTACTTTACTTACATACCCACTACAATGCGTGGTCACAATGTGAAGCAATCTATGTTTCAAATGTTTTTTTGGCGATGCAATATATTTAAATATCTGTAGCAACCAAGCAAGTTGAAGATGGATGTATGAAAACATTTCTATCACCTTTCCTAAATATTCTGCGGTCGACTTATTGAATGGATATTATATAGAAGCACAAACAAGCAATCAGAAAATAGCAATATTCAAGCAAATAGCTCCCTTTATCAGCAACTGAGTCAAACAAAATTGGCCCCTTTGTGCCCTGAAATGACCGGTATCTGAAACATTTGTGGTTTTGAGATTTTAGGATGCAAAACACTTTGCTTTGCCTGAATAATTTGCTGGTGACAGTTTCTGCCTCTTGCACCAGCAGCACAATTTTGACAACTAATCTCTTTGTGCCAATTTCACACCTCCTTTTTACAGGTTCGTGCATGTGCTGCAATAGTCTGGGAACGCTGGTATTGTGAAGCCTTAGATAACTGCATCTAAGGGACATTTCAAACAAGTGATAGGTGGGCAAAAATAACTAGATTTAAACATCAGTTACATCAAACTGAGATGCAGAAATTGGTTTAATACGTCAACCTACTGATTCAGTCATTCTGGTGCTACTTTATAGCGTGCCGTCTTCATTACATACAACCTTTACATACAAGTATGCACGCGATAGAAAGCCTTACGTTTCTCCGTCCAGTCCCTCGTCTAGCTCGACGATGTTGACAGTCTGGTTGTAGATGGCAGTCTGAAACATGTTGCCCTGGAGAAAATAAAATAAAACTAGTAAGTGTAAACTCCAAGTGAACTTTCAAGAACTTTCTTTTTTAGAGCTGCATTTAAAAAAAAAATAAATCTAAATGTCAATATGACTCAGCATCTGTCACATCATTGGTTGATAGCATGGAAACAACAGTCAAAGCTCAGCAGGCAGAAAGTAATGACAGTAAGGAGCCACCAGTCACCCCAACTATACAAAGACAATATAGCTGTTTTATGAATATAAAAAGACAAACTGCTTTGCTGACAATGACTTATTCAGGTATTAGTTTTCATGAATCATCAAATTTGAGGGGGGATGCGATAAACCTTCCTGCGTCTGACATCATCGCACCACATCTCAACCTGAACAGACCTCAAGCACCACCACCACAAATCTATTTCTGTATAAATAAATAATGAAAAACCTTTTTACCTCAGTGTCAAGATAATTGAGGAGGATAACAAGACCAAATGGGCGACCTGCCATGGGCTGAGCTGGGATGAAGGAGTACTCGAAGGAGGCCTGAGCCTGGGGCTGCACCACGGTGCTCAGAGGCAACGCTGTGAACTACACAAAACACACATTATTAATAGACCGACTTTGTTGCAATACAAACACATCAGATACACAAGTAAAAATTCAATGGTTTACATTTTGTCTTGTCTTCTACGTCAAGTAAAAAAGATGCTAGAAATCAATGCATTGGCATCAAAATAAAAAGAGCATGTGTTCAACTGTAAGGGTTTTATTTACCACATGCATTATGTTATTAACCTCTATATTGTTCACAATCATATTTTAACTCTTATATAATCACACCCCAAAAACCTTGAGACACGTATTGAGGACTTTTTGAACATCTCATAATGAAAACAAATCAGCAAATGATCATCTTCTTGTATCAGACTTCACATGAAGTAAAAAAAAAAGTTGTAGCACATGTCTGCCTGTGTTTTTTTATTTCTTATTTTAGATCAGACTCACGTTCTGGATGTAGAACTGGAAGTCTTGTGGGTAACGGAAGGAGGCCTCCAACGACTGAACGGTGAAATCCTGACTTCCCTTGTTGGTGAAACCCACCAGGAACCTCACAATTTCATTGGCAGTAAACTCTAAATGAATTATGAATACAAATAAATATAATGTAAAAGGCATAAATAGTTATAAGATGAAGAGCCAGATAATTGCCGTATACGTCTGTCAAGTCTAGGATGATGTATTCACTTAGTGTAAATGCTGTAAAAGCTCACCTTCTCCTGTCACGAAGACGATGGTTGTGTCGGCATCAGGGTGAGCCGATGTCAGTTTATCAGCTGCTTCATCAGACTCTTCTTCGTCTCCTTCCTGAGGAGGAACATCGCATGACATCGTCTCTTGACCAGCCAGCATGTAAATCTATGGTCGGCTATACTGCTGCATGATGAAAACATACATACCGCAGGTTGCATCTGATCTTCTTCAACAAGCACCTCTTCTTCTTCTTCTTCTTCTTCCTCCTCCTCCTCCTCATCTACTGCAGCTTCTGGGTCCTCAGCAATGTCCTCAGCAGAGTCTGCGGAGACGTGGCCTGCAGAACACACCAACGATATATAAGAGTTGTGGTTTAACCGTCACAGGAAATAATGTTAATACATATTATATTGTCCAGGAGCAGTGTCCCATCTCAATACTGATGAATTGTGTTTTTCTGGTATTTTAAAACCGTTTTGGTAGTTTTATTTTCTCAGTAATCTTTTGACAGTTTTTAGTGGGCGACATGGATAATGAACACATATCCACATTTACTTTCTTTCATATCACTTTTTTTTGTGTGAATACATCAGCCAGCCCTATTTCTTTGTGCCATTCTGCAAACCAATCAATACGCACTACGTTTTAAAGCGATGACTTAGCTGCATGGATTGATCTGCTAGTTCACAATCATTCAAATGCAATGCAAAATGAATGGCTGGGTCTACTCTCCAACTGTTGACACATTGTGATTAATGTCTACAGACAAACCACTTTGTCGCCAGTTTCAAATAAACAGCAGGACAATAAAAGTCACCATTTAAACGTAAGTCAGCTGGAGAAGAAAGCTGCGAGACACCAACAAACACATGGTGAGTTACCATCTTATCTCTGGTGACGTGTCCCAGCAGGAGCGAGCCGTTAACTGTTGCTGCGTCCACAAAGACTTCTACCCTCATTTTTCTTAAAATCACCTCTAAAGCGCACAACGTGAAACTTCGCTTTTCACGGCAGACATTGTTTTTTTTTACGCTTCCACCGCAGCAGCTGTTTGGAGACGATCGTTTTCAGAGTAAAAGAGACGAGATACAACTTTATTACAGTTAATTTAAACTTGCGGATAAACTACTGTCTGTACATTGAGGTTAGTGAAGCGGCGGTGGAGCCTCAAAGCTGCTCGTGAACAGCTACGTGACTGTGCCACGTCAATGTATGTGTGAGGCTGTCTAAAAAACTTTTTAACTGAGGACACGAGACGAACCGTCTGCTTCAAACGAACAATAAGACTTACCGAAGGATATCAATCCACAGGGGAAGGCCAGGAGAAGCAGCAGCAGCAGTTTGGATCCGAAATTGACCATTTTGTCAGAGATAGAGGCTGAAGTTAGTAACACATCAGCGTTCAGGAGAGGAGAGGACAGCAGCAGAGCAGGAGGCGGGATAAGAGGCCGTAGACCCGCCTTCTAGGTCTGTGTGTGTCTGGGAGGGACGGCTGGTTCGTTTTGTATTTTACAGTAGCTCCAGCGGGTTGTGTTTTACTTCCGTTTTACTCATGGAGACAGTGTCTAACATGGGACAACTCTCTCATATTGTGGCTTTCAAACAATATTGTGCAAACTTAAAAAGAGACATCCTGCTGTTTGTCCTTCAAGTAACTCGTTCATAGACTTTAATTCTTACCAAATCACAGGGGCGTTTCTAGGATACAAAGAAAGGGGGGGGCTTAGCCCGCGGCAATTTTTTTTGGGGCCCATTTGGGGCCTCGGATATCCATTGTTTCTGACAGTTCATAGATTGGTTCAATCAGAAAGAGTGTGATTTTGCTCTGTAGTTTTGCTTGCATTCAGTATATGATAACACAAGAGACAGAATTTCAGGGTCATAGTGGAATTTGACAACACAAATATGAACTTTTCTCAAATAAAGAGAGAAATAATTTTCCTGCTTGTAAAGGAAAGACAGATAAACTAGCTTTGATATCCGCGTCACTCCCAAATCCTAATTCTTAAAGGGACCGCACACAATGGATGGAGAATGGACCTGAGAGTGTCAACTTTATATCGTTAAGTATGATGATAGGCTGTTGGATTGTAATTTGAAGGGGGAGAAAACATACAAACCAGAACGCACGCACATATGTAGCATGTTAGTTATAAATAACTTGTCCATGTGAGAAACAATAGTTTAATTTAATGACATCACCAAAAAATTTTTTTTATTTTTTTAAATTTTTTTTATTTTTTTAAATCCAATAATGCCAAATTATTTGGGGGGGCTGAAGAACATTTTAGGGGGGCTTCAGCCTAACGACGCCCCTGCCAAATCATGATGATAGTTGACTTTTGCACATTTTGATTTCTTGTACAGATGGATTCTGCACTTGTCAGCACAATATATTCAAATTAATTTCAACAGTTTTAGAAAGGGGTAAGCTTGTAGTGCAGCATTATATTCTCTTAATGAAAAAAAACTGCCCTTTTATATAGCAAAATGGGTTTTTGTTGTCTTTATTTTGCACATTTCTTTGTGTCACTTTATGTCCTGTGGTGTTTATGTGATAAATATAAATCCTTGAATACTTCCATTTTACTTCTACTTAACGTATTTCATCCAAACAATGTAAGTATTTGAAAAAAAGATGAATTGTTCTAGAATAAAGTTCCCACGTGTATGTTAGGTCTCTTCAATAGACACAGAATTGCAGTGCTTTGTACATGTTAGTGCATCAGTAATATAATGCAATACAATTATATACTCCGGGTTTACTCTGCTTTTTACTACTTTTAATGCACTTTAAATGCATTTTGCTGATAATACTTCCATACTTTTACTTAACATTTTGATTGCTATAACATTTATGTACAAATATGTACAGTTTTAAAAAATAGACCATGAGCCTCTTAACAGTAATTGTCAGATCACTATGGCATTAGGCATTCCTGGATAGGCTACAATAAACCACTTTTCCAGTCTGCTTCAGAACTAATGTTTAGTCTCTGAGTTTGTGTGAACTTCGTATCAGGGTTCAAAGAGTGTCTGGAACCACGAGGAGAACAATTTATATAGTGTAGGGTGTGGAACAACCAAAAGACCTCAAGATGTCACTGTAGCACAGTCACACCAATAGCATACTGAAATCTAACGAGAAAATGTGCTCGGTTAAGAAAAACAAAATGAAGTCTTTCAGGAGGATGAATCCTCCATTGAGACGTACATATTGTATTTCTCTATTCCTTTGATTTCACACAGTGCCATAAACCCATTTAATGGGCAGAGATTAGTGATCGTGGAGTCACAACACAGAACACATCACGTCACCAGAACCTCTGTTGAACCCATCATGTCCAACATATAATAATTAGACTCTTGTGTGTCCACTGCTTCCTTTGAAAAATCCTTAAAAACTCACACATACCCTCCTTCTGCACATCCATCTCTTAAAATAACTGCGTGTATCATATTGTGAAGATGGACATGGCTTGACCTAAAGTTGCCCACACACCTTGCAGGAAACCAGGCATCCAGTGTTGGTGGGTGCGATGAGTAAAAATAGACCTCGGGACCAGCTGGAGGATGTGTCAGGTCTGCGTCGCCGCTTCACTGAATTGACATTCAAATCAAATGTGGAGAAGTGTGCATGTAAGAAAAATGTTATGATTAAGAAACTTTATGTGATTTAAACAGCGAAGGCTTTGCTGTTTTCATTCATTATTCAAACTACAACATTTCAATCTTCAAAGATGAGCAGTCTTTATTGGTGTAAATCAGCGGTGGCTTGTGTGTTTGTGGCTACGCCCTTTGTGACCTTTCACCCCGTCATCTCTCTGATCATTCTCTACCGTGTATGCATCTCAAGTCACCTTGCAGTGGTCATCAGGTGACGGTGAAGTCTAGAGAATAGAACATTTTGGTTTATCCTCAATCAGGCGTACAGAGAGCTGCATAACCAGGTTTAACTGTGGTCCATGTCCCAATATGATCAGAACTAGGACGAGACTTAAAACCAGGACACTAGTTTGCATGTAAACACAGCCATTAATGGATCTATAATCTTGGCGATCTCCTATAAGATGTCAGTTGTTTTCACTAATTTAAAGTGTGTTTGGCCGGCTGCAGCCAGGTTTAGCAGGTCCAGCTACAGAGAGAGGTTTACTTCCTTTTTTACGATGCTGATAATGGAGTTTTTCTTCACACTTAGTCTTAGTCATTGTCACTGGTATATTTTTGTCCAAGCAACTCACGGGTGACTTGACAGCTTTATAACAAGATATGTGATAACAGCACTAAGCTGATGACTCAATGCACCATTTTATTTAAATCTATCCTGTTTCCTTGAATGTTGAGGGGGAAATTTGTCCTCTGATAAGATATTGAAACATGACAGAATGATAAATAGAATGCATACACAAGCCAATGAAAGTGACAATTTACTTTCTCAAAGATACCAAAAGGAATTTTCAGAGTAATTTATGTGAAAATTGGTTGTTTTACCTATAATATTCCCCAATATTGTCAAAAGAGGTTCACTTCCTCACTTCTTGTTGCTTTGATGTAATTTTCAGTCTACACAAAGTTTGTGGTTTTCTGCAAAAGCACACATCCTGCTACGTGTTAACAATCCTTTGAAAAAACTGTTTCTTCTCTCGAGTATGCATCACACCGTGTGACGATAAACATGCAACAGATGCCGTTGTCTTGTTTGTCACATTTGCAGTATAGTAAGAGAGACACAGAGAGACAGACAGACAGAGAGACAGAGACAGAGGGAATTGTCCTTGATTAAAGCTTCATTACCATGGGCAGCAGATGCAATGAGACACAACAAGGTGGTAAGTCTTGATTAAAGATTTAGAAAATGTCATCCAGTGTGAGATGTTACCATGATCATTCTTGATGTAAGGGTTGATGTGTGATTGAAAGGTCATCAATGGCATATGCCGCATTCAGCCACATTAAGTACAGCTTAGAAGACATTGATACTACAGCTACTAGTTAGGTAACATGGTAACATTTGCTAGTGTAGAAACTAGAGAGGTCTCACTCCGTTTATTTTTGAAGAGCTGAGTCTTTTCCCAGGAAATGATAAGTACGATGACTTTTTGTTTTTGCATTTAATTGGTTCACAATTGAATTAATTAAGTAATTCCTGATCATTTTACCTAGTTGCTAATGTATGATTAAATATGAATTATTTTAATAACAAATAACAATTCAATACATTTATGTATCTATTAATTTGTTAGATTTTGTGTGGAATGGTGTTTGAACAGTTTGAGAGTGCAGTGAGACATAGCCTGAAACAATAAAAGTGACAGGGACAAAAATGAGATTTTAAAAAGCATTTTACATTAATGTTGTGGTGAAGATGAAGAAACGGAGATTGAATACTTTCTCACTTGATGAGAGACAGGCTCAGTGAAACGTCAGAGTACTGCAGTGAGTTGCATTGAAACAAGGCTTTGCAAATGTTTTTGGAGAGAGGAAATGCATCCAACGTTGTTTGCTGAGCATGTATTCTTGCAACACAAACCTGCTGCACTGTGCAATCACATATTGCACACATTCACGTATGCAGTAACGTCTCAGTTATAACCTCATCTTCTGCTGCAGACGACTGAGCAGATCCACTGAGCAGCTCCACTGACATTCTGTATGTGTAAATCTGCTTTCATGATTTGTTTTATTGCCTTGTTTCCCAAGCAGGGAATGAAACAGTCTGCTGACACTTACTCCTTTAAATGTTGCGCATTAAGTTATATTTTTGTCTAACCTTGTTTTAGCTAGCATTGCAGTCCATGTGACAAACCCAACCAAAGGACTACATGGCCCAGGTTTGACAAACACAAATCAGAGTATTACAACTTACCTGCCCTTATAATGAGGATGGGTATTGGTTCAGATATGGATTGTGTTGGAAAATAGGTGAACAAAAAACTAAATGACATTTTTCCAAAAAAAAACTGATACCATATACCATACAAACTGTGACAGTGGACACAAATCAATTTCAGTGTTCTTAAATTTACAGTGTTGTCTAAATGTTTTTTCCTTTTAAAAATCTATTAAGCTTTTTCAATGTCTTATATGCTCTATTATTGTGCTATTTCGGCTGTCTCTCTGTGTGAAATGTGCTCCATAAATAAACTTGACATTTCCCTTAGTTTCTAAAATAGATTTTGAGTTGGCAGATATTGTGGTTCAGTGGTTAGCACTGTCACCTCACTGTGCAGGTGGTTTTTGTATCTGTGTCTGCAAAGGTTTTCTCAAAACTCATATACATGTGGTTAAGTGTAACATATAAACTTAAAGCTTCCAGACACTAAGAATGGACTTCTCATGTTTTGCATTTAAACTTCTTAAAATGAGAATATTTGCATTCATAGGTTCTGGATTTTTCAATGCAGGACGTGTCAATAAGATCTTATGAATTTTTATAGCTTACCTTTCTTGTGGAAAAAACATATCCAACACATATTATTATTGAAAGAGTATTCAATTATCATAAATGATCCTTATTTTTTCTTTGTCTCTCCAGGTTGGAGTTTTTTGTGTGTTCCATTGAATCTACAGGTGATATTCGGCATCATCACCATAGTGCTGGTCCTCTCACTGTGTTGGAATATTTTTTGCTGCGTATCAAAATGTTCCTCAGGTAAATAAATTATTTGCTTGTGAAAAATCCAGTGAACACAAATTCACATTCTGTATCTGATGTTGAGAGTATTTTTCTTTATACTGCGACAGGAAAAGGGCTATGTAAACCAAGGACAAGACAAATGTATGTATCATATATTCACTGTTCAAAAGAAAGGGCAGCTTTATTTCCTCTTTAACGGTCTGCTTTTTCAGAAGTCATTACCAAACTGAAAAAAATAAAACACATTATCCTCTTTGTATGTCCAATTTAAGACGGAGCCAAAGGCAGATGGAAGATAATCCTATTTATGGAAACATAGGCTTGCAGTCAAGTAAGTACATTGTACATGTCTGTCTCTTTCAATGCCTTCATCTGTGTCTGTTTACAATGTGATAAACCTGTTTTCCACAGGCATGGCTTCGTTCATAGAAGTTGAGCCTCAACACTCTTCATCTTTGAGGGATCAACATAGAGTCAATCCGGAGTCACAGGTAGAGTCTTTAAACTCCTTTTCAAAGATTGAGGTCTCATCTGTTGAACATGCGGTTCAGAGGGCCTTTGTAAGGAAAGGAGAGGATTGTGTTGGATCATATTTGATAACTTTGCTATAATTCTCTTTAAACCTGTCCTGTACATATAATGTTGTGTGAAGACATTGCATTATTGTTTTTTTGTTCCTCTCTCCAGTCCAAAACTCAGGACTGCTATGCCAACCTGAACCTGAAGGCTCCCAGGCTGCAGTCTGGCCGTGTCTCTCCACAGATACAGTACTCAGACGTAGTTCATTTAGAGGAGGCGCCGGAGTCAGAGAAGGAGGATGAAGGCAACGCTGACGGCGTCTCCACCATGTCTGATCTGTATGCTTCTGTGCAAAATCAGCGCACCAAAACTGTCGACACTGCAGACAGCAGAGAGGGCTACGCCAACCATCTCTGAGATGCCTTACATGGTCTTTGTGCATCTTGACCTGCCGCCACAGGATGGCACTGTTTGTTGTTTGTCATCAAAAATGTCAACCCCTCTGTGTAGCTCAGTAGTGCATGTCATACCGCTCATGCACACTAACTGAATTGTATTAGTTGTATTTTTGACTTGCCTTGTTTGGTGTTTCTGCAAAGCATTTGATTAATTATTTAAAATATATCTTTGACTGTTGTTTCTCTCCTAAATCACACTGGGATTTATTAATTGTGTGTCTTTACTGAAATTATACCCATTGATTATTTAAGATCCCCTCCTGACGTGTTTGAAGACAAATACTCTGCTTTGAACAATAATTTGTTTCTGATGTGTTCCACCAAAAAGTTTGTTTGCTTTTTCCAGGTTTTCTCATCACATTTGGCTTCAACGCTTGTGACAATATCCTGCTGGTGCGTTTTGAGTAGAAAGGGACTTCAAATTACATTCCCACTAATCAATATCTGACTTGTCATATAAAGCAATTCATATTGTAAATGCCAGCTCCTGTAATCTTTCCTGGGCTTGAATTAATGTCACTTACTTGGTTAATGTTTCAACCTGTCATATCTGACCTGATAAAAAGGGTTACTGCAATAATAAGCAACTCTAACAGATTGTAAAAAGTCAACTTTGTTTAAAGTAGGCCTTTTTTAGTGTCGGTGGTGAGTTATGTAAAGTTGTGACAAAAACAAAACACAGGTTAGCTTACAGAGCGGAAGACCATGTGTGCGTTTTCCACTTTCACCTTGAACTTTGCAAAATAAGATAGCGTACAGCTGTTGAATGTTAAGAAATAGAGCAATGCAGATAATGAGGTGGGTAAATTGACACCATCAAACTGAACTGAAATCTTTGTTTTCAACCACACAGTACAGAGGCTACTGTGACGGTCCATCATTTTCACTTAGAGGTCAAATTTCAAGTCATGGTCGCAGTGGTGTGATGTTCTTAATAAAGCTGATGAAACTAAATCAGAATGTTGAATGCATTTTTCTTTATGCTTTATCTTTTTCCATGAAGAAGATGATCAAAGTGTTTATCAGCAATCTGTGGGTGTTATAAACCTCATATCAATATACATGGATCCTGAGCAGAACTTTTCCCGTTGTCCATGATTAGATAAGGCCCATTGTTGACCTTAATATTTAATAAAAGACAGTGTGGTGATGTAATTCCTCAACCTTTGTAACTAATGGCATGTGTTTTAATGCAGGCAATCACTATATGTTATGTGGTATCTGGTGTTATCTTTTTTCTTAAGGACACAATAAACTTGTTGTGGACTTAAACACGAAGCGCTTAAGTGGCCCAATAATATAGATAAATAAACTAATAAATAAGATGCAAGGCCTTACAGTGTAATTCAAACAACTTTATCATTGAGGAATCAAATACAGAATAGTTCGCTCTGCTTATATTTCCAGAGAAGTTGGCAGGAGATTTGGCATTGAGCAGGTGTTTATACATCATATAAAGATATCTCATATGTTTGATGTTTTACACTCTTTGACTTGGATGAGCAGCACACACTTTATTGGGCTGGGTAGTGATAGCTTTTGAATCAAATGGTGCCGAATAGCAGTGAAACAGAATAACAGGATTGTAAGTATTATAGTAAGAAAGAAACCAACTCCAGATGTGACGTTGAAAAAAAAGAAAAGGAAATGCTGTATCTGAAATGGTTTTGCAATGACATTGATTCAATGGATTCAAATGTACTTACATTAGTTTCAAATCCATAGTTTATACATCAAAAATGTATGTTTAACTGCAGTGACAGTAAGTTGGTTCAGTTAAACATAACCATGGGGATGAGTAGACATCATATGAGACATGATTCTCTCTACATTTAACCAAATGGTCCAATGCTCATTATTCAGTACACTCTTAATTGAAAAGGAGACGCTTTTGTTCAGAATTTGAAATCTAATTCAATGGGATGATTACCTGACTGTAACTGTTGTCTTAAGTCTTAGTGCTTGATATTACCATATCAAAAACGTCTCTAAATATGTCATGTTTTATACTTTTCTTCTGCTCCCATTTGAGCAGCACAAGATATTCAGTGTAATTACTATCTTTTAAGGATGCTCATTTCAACTCGTTTTGGTGGATTCTGTCCAGCCCTGTAATCAGATATACAACACAAATGATATGATGCATGTCGAGTGAAGCCAATGATTTATTTCGACCATGGCTTTAATATGTAACTCGAAGGAAAATGTGCAATGTATAAAATAATTTATTTCACAATTTCTTGACATATAATGTGAAAGCAAATACATTTTATTCATTTTATTAATTGCCCTTTGCCATTTTGCATGCAGTACTCCAACTTCAACAGTAAACAGCTTTTGGTGAGGGGCTGATGTTTAGGTTCAGTGGAATGTTTTAGCTCAAATTCCAAATACATGTCATCCCTCCATCAGGAGTGATAATAAATCATACATCTGAAACTCTTGCAACAAGTGTGAAAAATATCTCAATTTTGAAACGATAGTAATGGCTATAATTCAAAAATGGAATGACTCACAATGACTGCCTCCCTGTGTCGACTTTTGTGTTCATGGAGCTCATTTGTATCTTTTCTTCATGGCTTATGGAGGTCTTGGGCCCTTTTACACTGTCAAAGTCAGAGGGCATGTCAAAGAAAACATCATCATCAAAGCAGTCCTCGTCAGATGGGGATGCCATGAAGGGCAGCTTTATGACCCAACCAGTGAGCAGCCCACCAACTGCAGATGCTGCGATGGTGGAGAAGATAGCTGCCACCTGGTAGAGAGCTTGTTCCTGCGCAGTACGACCCAAGCCCGGCTTCAGTCCAGGAATCAGCCTCTGCATTTCCAGGAGCTTCGGATCTCCCTCAGGTGGAGCACGATGGGCAAAGATCTGGTACATGCTGGGCCCGTAGGTTTCTTCAGTGGCTAGGAGGATGGCACAGATCCCTGCTGTGGATGATATGAGGCCAGTGAGTCCGTGCAGGTTGTGAATACCACACTGGTCTTGGATCCTCATGTGCCGGGCCATAAAGGGGGTCAGGTACCTGTATCCAAAGAAACAGGCAGTGCAGCCCATGATGCCCAGGGCGTACGCGGCTACAGGGGAAATCATCATGTCCACAGAAGCCCCAACAGTCACGCCACCTGCCAGAGTCACGTTCTGAATATCAGCCATTGTGAGCTTGCCTCTCTTATTGAACACTGCTGAGAGTGCAAAGGCGGTGATAGTGGATGAGCTTAGACCTAAAAAAGTGTGGAGTATTGCTCTGTGTTGATCGTCACCCTTAAAGGTCAGAGCAGAGTTAAATGAAGGCCAGAACACCCAGAGAAACAAGGTTCCCATTAAAGAGAGGATGTCAGAGTGATAACTAGTGATCTCTTTAGAGTGTCCCTCATTCAGGCTCGGGCGGTACAGCGCAAACGTCACCCCTAGACCAAAGTAGCAAGCAAACAGGTGAATAAGAATAGAGCCACCTGCATCAGTGATTCTAATGTATTTCAATACAGCCCACTCTGTCACAGCGAAGAAAGGGATCTCCAGTAAAGCCATGACCAGGAGCTGAATAGGACTGGTCTTCCCAAGCACAGCTCCGAAAGAGATGAGCACCACAGCACAGGCAAACTCTGCATACAGCAGGTTGATCACTCCCAGGTGAATTTTACCAGCATAGTAAAACTGGAAGAAACCTTGAATCAGGATCGCCCACTGGATCGAAAATGTAGCCGTAAGAAAGTTGAAGACCATTCCACTGAAGCCATAGAATCGGAAGAAGGCCAGCAGGCACCCGAAGCCTATGAAGATCATCATCTGCACGTCGGCAAAGTAGGGATAGTCTTGATAAACGGAGTTCTCCATCGGGTTGGTCTCGTTGTTTTGCAGCTTAGCATTGGCATTATCATCATAAGTGACAAAAAAAGCATAAAGTACTAACATGACAACCTCTGACAGTAGCACGAACGCCGGCAGGCGCATCTTCAAACTTGTAGACACGTTCATGATGATGGACAGCTCACAGTTGCTCCCCCAGCAGCAGGGACATAACTTTATACCTCTATTTTTATCAGATAAGAGCTAATGGCTTTGTGTGAGGAGCATAGGCCCAATCAGCACAGACTGTACTTTAATCCTTCATAGATTCCTAAAAATTACACGCATCGGTCATGTTTAAAATTAAATCTCTGAAGGCAGATTTCTAGAGCATAATTTAGGGTAAATTAAAGACTAATAAGGATGCTGTAAAACGGAGGTTTGCATTCATTTGACACAACAAAAGCAAAATGAAGGCTGCATTCCGGCAGTAAATGCTGCGCCACATAGCAGTTGTTAAATTACAGTTTAACAACTAAACGTGATATTAGTGTAGTAGACTGAAGTGTCACAATCTGAACTAATAAACTTCTTACAGGAACTGGTCTCACACTAAGTGGTTATTAATCATATGCCTGGACAGGCTCAAGATAGGACTTTGGATCAACCATGGCACACAAACCGTTACGGCTGAATGTTTTATAACTCCAACTTTTGGATTACGATCAGGTCATAGAGGAAAGTTCCGATTTTATAAAGTTATGTATAGTTAATTTCCTGACAGCCAACTCTGTTTATAATTCTTGTAGCTTCCTGCCATATAAACTGGATTTCTTTAATTACTCTTCCTGCTAGTTGTATCTCACCCACAGCACAGAACCACAGAGGGGAAGGAATGATTCACTGATTCTGGTCACATGTAATCCTATATTCATTTAGTTGTGGTTCATCGTTATTCATTGTACTGTTCATGATATTCTTCATTCATTACATTAATTTTGTTTATTTGATCATTTATTTATTCATTTTCTGTGTATAGTATAATTAGTCATATAAATATTTCCTTTATAAAGAACTTGATCATTTGATTTGTGTGGATATGAAAAAATACGTCACTGTACACCTGACTTTGAGTTCCTAAAATCGTTCCTGGGAAAGTGCTTGAGTTTAAAATGAGCCACTTTAGAGGCTGTTGGCCATGTTGGCTAGCTCAAAATGATCCCACTATTCTCAGCTGTGGTTTTTTTTGTTGTAGTTTGACTCAAATAATTTTAAGATTTAATTTCTGGCTGTTTACATTTATTGGGTGCTAGAAACTAAAAAGTCACAGAAAATAACTGTGGGTGCTGAGCTACAGAGACAAGGGACATTGTAGTTCAGCTACATGATATGTGCAGACTGTAAACTGCTGGTCATCAAATCAAGACGCTCCATTTTTGTTGTTTTCAAGATTGTTTGGATTAATGGATTTAAGTGAAATGTAGTTGCTTCAGTTTCAGGGTCCTTGTATTGACCATCCTGCTGGTTCACAATCACACTGTCATGGCTTAGTAACACCATCTTTGTATCTATAAATGCTGCTGTAGCGAAACAAATGTATAAAGTAAATATCTTTCTATCTATCTCTATCTATCTCCTTTTATGACAACACGTGTCTTTTGAGTCTATTTGGAGTAACCAATTTGGAGAAAGATATCTCCGTTTTGTGTAAATGTGTAAATGTCTGCTAATTCTGCCCAGAGAAAGACATTACTTTTAAGATGTGATAATGACAGGTGATGCCAAATTTAGATTGTGTATCTTGTGATCGTATCACGGTCCGGTTCTCGTGTACATGCACGCTCCGGAGCAGCAGAGGCGGCAGAGAGAGAAAAGAGAGAGAGAGGGCACGATACAAAATATAGACGAGGAAGAGGAATCCGGACTCCCATGATGCATTGCACTGCCAACGTATGCAAACAGGAACATGGCTACCGGTGCTTAACATCAGCAGCCTATCGTTTCAATACACTTCTGTTGACCCGACACAGTCTGTGACAGTATAATATTTGCTGTGCCTCCGCCACAGAAGAAAAGCCTTCTTCGAGTGTATCGGCGGAGCAGCAGACCTTCTAAAAAAAACAACGTCTTCGTTGTTCATCAATCACAGACAGGTAACGGTTCAGTTAGCTCGGTCGACGGCTAACGTTAGCATTGTCGTTAGTCGCCACATCAATTCACTTACATTTTAAAATGTTGGTGAAATGTCCATGGGACAAATACGTGTTTAATGATAAGGCGAAGTAAAACACAACAACGGTGTCTTACCGGTTTACTAGTGTGTCCTTTAAATGTCCACGGACATCTGTAACGTTAGTGTTTGTTACGTGGAGCGTTGACACGACTGCACTTCTGTGTGGAAACCACGAATAGTTTCAACATTTGTGGTTTCATTTCATGAAGAGACAGACGTCACCATAACTTCTGTCTTATAATTATGGTTATTTACATTTAGGCCTTGCTTCAAGGGAGTCTAAATAAAGAACAATCTGATTAGCTTAACCCACATCCTCGCTCTCGTGGACAAATTAAAGCTGACTGTGTTTTCATAGAAAATACCCGTAAAGTTGTCTGTCAATTTGCTCCTAGGAATCCTCAAAAGTGCCAAAGCTGGGCAGAGACTAGACACGTTTCCTCCTGTTGTATTGTCTCATAATGAAGCTGTTTTAAGGAATGTAAACTCACCCGTCCAGTGAGAGTTTTCTTTGCTAACGTTCACCCTCATATTCACCTGAATGTCTGTATGGACTTATGAAGAAGTGCCTCTCTGTGAAAACATCACACCTATCTGAGAATAGTTCCAATCCACCCTAATACAGACGCTGCATTGTGTATTGTACTGTTTCTGTGGTTTACTTTTATTTTTATAGTAACATCGGTATCTTTAGACGACTGCTGTCATGATTAGATGGTAAATAAATTAGGCTATCGTTCTGTTGTTGTTGTTCAGTTCAATACCTGAGTTTAAAGGGTAGAGCTGGCTTTTTCCATATTTTTTTTATCGTCATCGTAAAAAGACCAAATACCAACCACGCATTATTCTAATACATTGATGAATTTCTTGCCCTGTCTGTGGTTCTCTGTCCCAGGCCCATTCATTCTCATAGAATATGTAAATCTTTATATCAATGATAAAGTTTCTGAAAAGAAAAAACGCCAAGTCTGTTTCTAAAACCGCTGGACACTGTAGAGTTTAGCTATCATTGTTTAAACAGGAGTTAAGAGTCGGGGCATGCATTAGTACATATGTAGTGCTTTGTGGCAGTCGGTGTAGGATAGGCTCTAAAGAAGCTAAAGGGTCCATGTACATTGAAGACATGTCACCTAGTGTAACGTGTGGCTTCCTGATGTGTTTTCATAGTTTTTGGATGTCATTAGAGGTCTATGACAAGGAGGAATAATGTATATTAGGCTTTGGCTACATAGACTTCTTATTAGGATCAATTCATTGTTGGTTTTAGTCTTTTCACGGGATTATCAACGCAGAGTATTAAGTCATCTGTATAGATATGTTCAAAAGAGAACATTAATTTAATTTTACCACCGTGTAGGGGTTACATCAGTGTAATGAGTGAATGTGTACCCAAACAATCTCTGCTGTCATAGTGTCCTGGTACTTCATTAATCACCAAGTTTGTCTTTGCAATAACAACCATTGGCGATAACTGAACAAAAAGAGCCACGCTAATAATGGAGTGATCAAAAATATAATCCAAAATGTATTAGTATTAGTATTAGTTGCAGCCCTAGTTTTGAGAGCGTGCGGTCTGATGGATATTAAGCTGACCTGTATCATCCTGGGAAGGTGTTACTGCAGCTTTTTGTCGCTTCCCTTGGCAGCAGCCTGCCTGCTGCTTTCATCCACTTTCAAGGCGAGGCCCAGTTCATCTGAAACAATCTGTCTGTGGAGCAGGTTCAGGTTTGTTTTAGATGACGACATCAAAACAGTTCTCACTTTGAACCAGAGACTGGTTAAAATTCACAAGTTAAATCTGACCTCTGTTATATAACACAAAGTGTGTCACTTCTATTTTAGGGTGGCTTTTTATCTTGAAGAGACGGTACAATAGGAATGTATAACTTCAGTATGTGAAATAGTGCTTTAGTGATATGATTTCATTCAATTATAGGCACTTCTTTCAAGAAGTAGTATGGTGATATAAAGTAGTAGAGTATTTGTTCCCAGAAGTATTTGTGTCTTTTGAACATATCTATACAGATGATTCCATACTCTGCTTTGGTAACTAAATGTTTTACTTAAGAAGGTCCTCTACCGTTGTCTTTCAGTGTGGGTCAACATGGCGAGTCCAAGGACCAGAAAAGTTCTGAAGGAAGTGAGAACCCAAGATGAGAATAATGTAAGCCTTGACAGCAACCGTCACTTCTTAGTCAAAATAGTGTCCCCTCACTGGACCTGTATAATCCACATAGCTGGTGGTAGCAGGTGTTTGGGAGGCCTGCAAAGTAGCACAAGTTCACTCTCCTTCACAAAGTTTCCCCGCTTTCATCAGGGATCAAATAAAATGGTGGCAGTAATTTTAGGTCTGAATTTCACTGCCAGTGGACATCTTGTTGGCCAGCATCTTTGGCACTAATATTTGACAGATATGTGTCCTAAACTAAAGATAAAAGCACAATATGAATACATGTAGTATTGTTCTATTTATTTAACGGACGTTGCAGTGTGAAATGATTGTGTACAATGTTAAAACACATGGGGTTAGTGGACTTTTCGTATACTGTAGATATTTTCCTTATAAATGCAAGATCAGGGATCAAAGATGTGTAAATGTGTTAACTGTCCAACACACCTTGTTGTTTTTCAGCTATGTTTTGAGTGTGGTGCTTTTAACCCTCAATGGGTCAGTGTGACCTATGGGATCTGGATTTGTCTTGAGTGCTCCGGCAAGCACAGGGGCCTGGGAGTACATCTCAGGTGAGAATAGTGGACCGTATTATGGTGGTGTTGATGCATTTGAAAATGCTGGACAGCCTGATAATAATGTATCTTTTCTGCCCCGTCCACAGTTTTGTGCGCTCTGTCACCATGGACAAGTGGAAAGATATTGAGCTTGAAAAGATGAAAGCGGGAGGAAATGGAATATTCCGTCTATTTCTTGAAGTCCAAGATGATTACGATGCGACCTGGACGTTACAGGAGAAATACAACAGCAAAGCTGCTGCACTCTTTAGAGACAAGGTGAGGTGTGCAGGTGGAAAGCTCTTTGGTCAATTTGTCTATTGGCAGAACGATCTAGTTTTTGCTGAGGCCTCTTTGAGATGACTAGCTTGTGAAGGTGTCTTATTTTGATCATCCTGTATATGACAGGTTGTAACTTTAGCCGAGGGTAAGGAGTGGTCCATTGAGACATCCCCTGCCAGAAACTGGACATCTCCTCAACCCAAGACCAGCCTTTCATCCTCTCATCGGTAAAAGTGATTTCTAACACACTAGCACTATGGGCAATGGCAGATTACAGGACGGGCATTAAAGCGGTGAATTCATGCTTCTGTCAAACAGCTCTGGAGGACCGGGACAAAGCTCAGCAAAACCTGGAGACAAAGCTTTTGAAGACTGGTTGAGTGATGATGTTAACTCGTATCAGAGGTGAGAGCCTCACATTCTCTACATTTCTTTTATTGGGCACTTGTCTGTTGGTTTCTTTGTCCTAAGTGTTTTATTTCTACATTATGTCTTCATGCTTCGTTAGTGGAGGGGGCTATAGTGGGAATCAAGAGAATCGGTATGTTGGCTTTGGCAACACAGTGACCCCAGAGAAGAAAGAGGACGACTTCATCAACAATGCCATGTCTTCTATTTATTCAGTAGGTCACCATGGATATCGAGTTGTACCTTTTATTGTATTTTTCTTCCCCCGTGGCAATTTTTAAAATGTTTAAATTTTATTTTTGCAGGGCTGGAGCACTTTCACTGTTGGAGCTAGCAAGTTTGCTACTATCGCTAAAGATAATGTAAGTGTATTTACGTGATGAACACTTTATTGTTTTTGTGCTGTACGGAATTTGATTTTTCTGCATGAAAAAAAAAACAATCCAGATAATCCAAAAAACAACCCTCATAAAAAATAAAGAGGTCATTCATATTTGTTTTGTCTTTTCCCTCTCCTATAGACATCTAAACTTGCAAACCAAGCAACCTTAAAGGTAAGACTGATGTAATAACGGGTAACCTGTTACTAGAACTACGACTTTTTGTCTGTCGAGATTGCGTTTGAAGTTTTCTTCTGACAGCTCTGTTTTGTTGAATAGGACCCCTATAACTAAAGGGAATTAGTAGTGTTCAAACAATGTGTGACATTTTGGTAAATCTCTTACCATATAATGTAAATGTCCAGCTGCAATAACTGTGTGACTACTTTAATATCTCTTTGCCTTCTCTGGATGTAGTTAAAGGGCTATAACGCACCCCCAGAACCGGTAAAGCAGATAATAAGTGCATGGTGCTTTTTCTGCATCATTTTTTTTTCTTTACACATTACCCATTTTTTTACATTTTTGTTAGCTTGTGAGTTGTTTTTTGTCACACTACAAATATTTTGCAAAATGGTGAGCGCCATCTTCACGTGCTTTTGCTTGGATACTGTGCTTTTCTTGGGGCTTATTCTTTGAGTTTATGGATAACCTGTGGAAGACAGTTTGAAACTGTATTGTGAGATGGGGATTGACTTTAATTCCTACCCCAATATAGAAATGTTGTTCCCGGAACTGTTCACTCGCATCCATTGATAGTTATCCATTTATGCATGACAGGTTTTGTGTTGACTGCTAACCATGCCGTAGAAGTGTAATGGTATTTAAAGACAATTAAGTTTGGCATTATTCAACATCAATGCAGAGCAACATTTGGTATTTTTTTTATGTACAGGTGTTTGCTCTTCATCTGTTCTATTATTTTCTATAAATACGGTAACAACAAAAAAAATCCTAAGGAAAATTTTAAATTTACAATATTGTAGTTGTAGCTCAGGTGGCACCCTCTACTGGACATAGTGGTGTAGCCATTCAATCAGGATGTGCCTACCCGAATACATGCGGAACCCACTGTAGATAAGGCAGCACACATAACACAGCTGTCTGCCATCCTTCCCATGGAAGCGTCGAAAGTGATCCCACTGCTGCTGGCATTGAATCTAGTGCATGGTTGGGCAGGCAGGGGGCAGCGCTCTCGGCGTGCGTCGGGCACTTGAAGCCGGCGTCGTGAAGATCCGTCCCAGTGATGAGGCCGGGACATGACGGCTACTGACGACATTCTTCAAGAGGTGACTCCATCTGTGCAGATGAGCAGTCAGCGGGCAAACTGCTGTACACTGAAGAGAGAAAGGCAGACAGATGTGTGTGTGTGTGTGTTACCTTATATACTGTAGGGCCCACACAATTCGGGTAGGCACATCCTGATTGGCCGGCTGTGCGTTTCGGTGGGCAAATACGTGCTCACGATTGGAGGAGAGTATTACCCACAGAGTCCTGTGTGAGTTAAGACATAAATCCTATATGTAGCATGTTTCTTTGATTATCTTAGGAGGCAGAGTAGGAAAGCAAAGATGTTGTCTTTTAATATTTTGAATATAAACAAAGGCTTCTAGTGTTTCACCAAACTCTCAGTAAGAAATTGTATGCAGTGTTGCCTCATAAGAGAAGTTTTTATAACCATTACACCCTCTAGTGCTTGCTCAGTGTCATGGTGAATGGGAATGACTGTCGCTTCATGCAACTTCAGAACAAGCAGCTCAGTGTCTTGCTCTACTGTGGATGTTTAACTGTTTCTCATTCAAGTGAATTCTCCCCTGTGACTTCCAACCAGGCTGCAGAGTTAGGACAGACATTAAATGAGAATGTTATCAAACCCACCCAGGAAAAGGTAACATTGATGTTTGAAGTTGTAGATTTGGTGGTGGGTTAGACTCCTTTATAGAAAACAAACAGCTTCAGATGTTAATGTGCTATTTTCTGCACTGCTTGTCTGCGTCAGTTTATCTGCTTCATGCCAGCTTACATTAAACGACAAAAGCTGCAGTTTTATGGATGCAAAAAAAAAAAATAATCAAACCTTTGATTTCTCCAGTGACTCAGCAATGGGATTTAAAGAAGCACACAGCTGTGAACTGTTTATTTGGGAACGGATGTGAGTCAGATTGAACTGTCGGCCACTGGACAAGGCTTAAATGTACATTTAAACAGATATCATGCCTCATATCAAGGCATTCAGTTTTTAGTTTAAATTTTGTAATTAAAGTCGAGCTTCACGAAACAATGTTAAAAGTTAAAATGCCATGAAATGACACAACCTGTAGCTCCTCAATTGACAGTTAGTTGCTCACTGGCTTTGCAGATTCAGCGTGTTTAAGCGTTTGCATCAGAATAAGCTTTGTTTTTAAGCTAAATCCCTCAGGTCCTGGTGGGTTGTTTCAACATAACTGCTCTAACTATTTACTGTCAAGTGAGCCGCTCCTGGAAGTGTCTTTAATGAGATCAAATGAGTCCTGTTTAGCTATACGTAAACTTGATGTATTTTGGAAAGGCCAATGACTGAGAGAAACTAGTTCTAAACTAAATGTTTTTGTCTTCTAATGTACAGTTGGCGTTTGTGATTTACGCTCTCTATAGTAAGCGCTTTTGTAACGCTCTTCTTGCTCTTGCTGAGTGGTTATAGCTCCTTTTACTTTGGACTTATTTTCTCTTGAAGAATAAACTTTTGTTGGATTCAAACAAAAGGTTATTGTTTTCTCATGTTGATTATCAGTGCCATTAACAAAACGCATCACAAACTGCTGCTTATAACATGTGAGTTAAACAATGGATGGATATTGTTGTTTTTAAAAGTTTTTAATAATTTGGCTCATTCAGGTAAAAGATGGCAAATTTCTAGATGAAATGGCAGTCGGCATCAATGAGCTGGCAACCAAGGTAGGACGGGCAGACCTCTGCCACGCTGTACAGTCGCTAAACCAGTCTCCTGAGCCGGGAACTGATCCAACACTTTTAATTTAAGATAGGCTGAAACTGCAGGGCCAGCCTCGGCCCCCTGCAGCAGACCCCTCAAAGGAGACTGGTTTCGCTGTGATGATGAATGTTTGAACAATTCTAATTTAATGTCATCTCTCGTTTTTCTTGCTGCCATTTTTAATCTGGTGGTGAGTACTTGGTGTTAGAAAACAAATGTGTGTTTTCAGTTTTATTATTACTGCCTCTAACTGTTGCTAAAACTAGAAATGCAGAATAATAGTTTAATTTGTTGTGAAGCTAATATTGATTGTTTATGGACAATTTGGAGATTTAAATTCCTTCAGTTATTCTTTCAACCACCATTAGTGTTTACCATTGGATTTAATTTTCAGATTAAGTAAAATACCATTTGTTTCTTACAAAGTCACAATGTTTTAACACGTACAGCAGCAGCTGCTTAAAAGTCTCGTCTGTTCTTTAGGTTCAGGGAGCTGGTTCAAAATTGACAAATCTCTTCTCGGGAAAACCGGAGGATGGGTAATAACAACTTCATACATGTTTTATTTTTTATATCCCACAAACAAATCTGTTGTACTGTGTGAATGAATGCAAGGCAACATGAAGATGGTGTTTTGACTGTTCAGGTGTACCGGAGAGAGCTACCAGAACATGGATGCCACTGAGGGATATCAGGGCAGTTCTACCCAGCCGGTCTCAAAGGACTTCTGGGAAACCTTTGGCAGCAACAACTCCTTAAAGGCCAAGCAATCACCCAGCAGTGACAGCTGGACCGTCGCGGATAATTCTGCAAAGAAGAGCTCTGACAGTTGGGACAATTGGGGCTCCGAAGCAGCGTCCAACAACAAACATAGCACAGAGGAGAGCTGGGAGGCCTGGGACAACAACTGGGAGAACGCAGAGGGTAAGACGAAGAAGAGTCCCACGAAACCTGCCGAGGAAACCTGGGATAATGCAGACTGGTAGTGACCTCACAACCAATACATCTCCTCACCCTTCTCCCTCTGTTTCTCTCTCTCTCTCTGCTCATCTCACTGGCACTTTTAGGGAAAGAGCTGTGTCAGCTTAGTTCCCATCAATCCATTCAAAAATATATTTATTATAAACCCAAGAAACGATAAATGAAGCCCGGGGTTAGGTTTTGCTCACTGTTAAAGGAATATTCCTAAAATGTACAACCATACTGACTTGCAGTCATGTATTTTACTGTAAATTGCCTTCATCGGCAGCAAGTAAGAAGTCAGTGTAGATATGGTGATAACTCTCTGCCTGGGCTCCCCAAATATAATCCTCTTAACGGTGAAGAACAGTGTTCATACCGTATGGGTTTAATGATACTGGTTCTCAATTCAAATACAACACCGATGCATGACGGAGAAAATCTGACACTGTAAATATCAATTCTTGTAAATACAGTATGATTGACTAAACATTAATGACATGATTTTCTGTTTGTTCAATCAAATGGATTTGTTTTGCCCCTGGACCTTTTGCACATTTTGTTCTTATAAATGTATTTTGAAAAGCATGTTTGATTAAATCAGAGAAACAAACAACCGCTAGAACAAGTTGGCTTTCATGAATCAAGTCTGTGAATACATAGAATTTAAATTCAATAATCTAATGTGTAATGAGTTGGAGCTACAGTAATAGTATTGTTTCATGTTGGGGTTTTTTGTTTTCATTTTGTTTTGTTTAAAATGTGCAAATATTCGGTGGGTTTGAAAACAACGCTGTGGATACATTATCATGTTTTGAAGAGCAGAAAATGGACTGGATGTTTAAAAGTTTAATTCGTTGTGTCCCAAACAAATAAAGTTGATCAATAATTGCCCCGTTTAACTTGTAAAACAGTGAAGTTGGTGTTCACGTTGGTGTCATCAATGAGCTGTGAACTCTTTTTCATCCTCGCCATCAACAGCTCGAGACCTGTCTGCGACTCCCACTCAAATATTCATTGCAAAGTTAACTTTTTTCTTTTTTTTTTTTTTTTTTTTTTTTTTTTTTTTTTTTTTTTTTTTTTT